TGTGGCATGTGAGTTTGTTGACTGAGAGCAGATTAGTGTGCATGGGTGGAGGTGGGGGAGGGGATGGCACAGTAAACTAGGACAGGGACCAACTGTATCTTCCCTCATTGTGTTTTTCCAGGTGCTGGGTCTCCCCCATGCTTTCAGAGATATACAGTCTAGGTTAATTATCAGTCTTAAATTAGGCTTATTTGTCTGTGCCCTATGATGAGATGGCATCTCTCTGGAGCAGGCTTTTGGTTTGACTGAATTACCAGGGATACATGTCTTTCTAATAAAGGCTAGACAAACGTCTGAAAAAACTAAATCTGTACTCCCTCTTTCAGGGTCTTCTCTCTCCTGATTCCATTAAGATCTTAAGTCTGTTCACATCAAACAAGGATGTAAAGTTTGAAGTTGCACTGAACATTTTCAAACCTCAGCCTCACATGACATGTGAATGTGCTATTAATTTCACGACATATGGGTTTACTGGGATGTGTGCCTTTCATCAAATACTTTGGCTTTCAGGATGAACCTAAGGAACAAACCCTTAATAGCTAGGGCACGTTGTCTTTTCCATTGCAGGTGTAAAAAGGTGGATTTTGTGTATAAGTAGGTGGTTACGAATGCCAGTTGCACTTGAAGTGGGATGAATGTCATGTTATATAACACGAGACAATCGACTTTAAGAGGAACTGGGCGTGGATGTATGTTTGTCCTTGAGTGTGAATCTCCTGTCACCTATCCCAGTTTCAAACAGCATCATGAATGCATGGAAGAGGATAAATTTAGCTACTTCTAGGGTGCTGAGCTGCTTATTTTTGGGAACAGAAAGAGCCCTAGGCATTGGCAGCATAGATTGTTTTTTTTTGTACACGACCTATGAAATAAAATATAGGACACCTTCACTGCATTAATGAGCTTGTTCCAGAGGGAGAGAGAGAGACACAGGCACCCAAATCACGTGTCTCAGGGGCGCCGGGACAAACTTCCCAGGCTGCAGGAGCTGGACGCAGTGCGGCACTCATTCACAACTTCGCATGCTGGGAGACTGCGTCCCACTGCTGGCCAGTTGACAGAGAGGGATTCTAAAAACATTGACCATAAGGAAAGGAGTAATAATTCATCAAGGAGACTGCAGCATATTGTGAAACACAAAGAACTCTTCAGTGACAGCGCAGGGTTTTCATAAACGTATCTTTCTGCTAAAGTGCACTAAAAATAACGAAGAGATTAAAGGCAATGAGAATAGATGTCAGAATTTTTTTGGAAGTTATGCATTAGAAAAATCAGCAAGATTAGAATGTGTGACTGCTTTAAGATGCGATTTAAAATCAATTCCACATTTTTCAAGGCTGTAGCTGCTGCAAGCCTTTGGCTGCACTCTCTTTCCACAACAGGACATTAATGAATCACCACAATTGTGCTGTAGTCGCTAGTCTCACTGTGATACTTTGTTAACTCTACATGTGTTTCTGTACAGTGCTCTCAATCTGAACACACGTTGTACATGATACACCCCTGTTTTCCAATGTAAATCTTCTACACTTGCTGTCCAGAATATTATTTGAGGACCCACTCTTCCCCTGCAAGAACAAATTGAACAGAATGTGGTTTGTATTCCACATGGTTCTGAAATATTCACAGTGCAGTCCTCCCCCCCTTCCTTCAAACAGCGTTGAACATTCCTCTAATTCCACCAGCTTTTGATTCACATCCTCTCAGCTTGGTTGGTTTGGAGTAAATAATATATGCACAGTTCGTTTGCTATCAGGCTCATTTCGTATGATCAAAAAGTAGTATAAGGGTAATTCAAGTAGGTTGCAATGTGGAGTTTGTATATGTCTTGTAGCTTTTCTCTTGATTTCAGGCTAGTCCTCCACCTTATGACACAGCCCACTTATTAATGTTCATTATTCTTATCAGTGCAAAATTGAATGCATTCCCTATCGATTTTTATACTGCATTATCCTACAATAAACATTTCTGCGGAAATTAATTTGATGGCTTTTCCTGCAATGACTCTTGCAAAAAGTGTTGGCCTGTGATTGAGATGTGACTAATAGATTTTATGTCAGGACAGCTCTCAATCCTTGCAGCGAGACCAAAAAAGGATGTGATTATCACTAAGCAATCCGTCACTTCATCATTGCTCATTATTACTCACTTTCAGAGCAAAGAAGAGGAGGCTCTCAAGAACGGAAAAGCTGAACTTGAACGACGTCTCAGTTCAAGTAACTGTAGTCCAACACCAAACATGAGTTATATTTTGGAAAAGCTTTGCCTGTGTGCTGTTAAACCTAACTTCATCCCAGAGAGCAGAACACAACCAGATCAGCCTTCCCAGTCTCACCTCCCTGTGTCACATCTCCCAGCCTGCAGCAGGAAATATTGTTGGAAAGCATCACAGGAGTCCCTTGCACTAATCCAGTACTGTCAAGATGTAAATGCATAGTAATCAATAATTGAGCTGTGCTTGTCTTAAAACCTGTATTAGTTTCTAGGTGATAGGACCCTGGCTGACTAATATACACTCAGCCCCAGTGGCACTGACACCTGACGAATTCCCTTTCACAGCTGACTCATGGCCCGGGCTTGAGCTTGTGATGTTGAAGAAAAACCTTGAGTCTGATTCTTGATGTGCCATGATTATGCCATTTTCCAGGAGGCCTACCAGCATGACTGGTTGAGTTATTTCCGTTCCAGTTTAATATCAGTTGTGCACAGTGACTCCTAGACAGGTTATTTATTTTTTTTCTTTCCCCGTCTTGTGTCCCTGGTACTGATGACACAGCTTTGCAGAAAACCAGGACTTTACATTTTTGACATTTAATCCATCAGTGAACGAGCTTGCTCACTGCCTATACTTACTGTATATCTACAGTTGAATATCTTTATCGTGGTGTTTTCTATGCTTCTCCTGAGGTCCTCATTTAATGTTATACATTTTCGCTCTATAAAGTATTCACTTTCTGCATCTTTCATTGTCGAACACAGAAGGAACTCTTCACGAATAATATATCACATGAAGCAATGTAGATATTAAAACATATGCCCACGTGCTGGTTGGATCCTATGTGGAGGATAAACTCAAATCCCAAGGAGGTTAGATGATAAAGAAATAACAGCCTCACAAAGAAGCATTTGAGAGCCTGTTTTGCTTTAGAAGTTACTGGTGCAGCTGCAGGCTAAGGACTTGGGGCTGTGGTCTTTCATTTTATAAGATCACCTTTTTGTTCAGCATTTGAACAGGAAATGTCATAACGAACAGCAAGCAGGAGGAAGCGAGATGAGAGCCTGTTCACTCTGTACAGAAAGATACCTTGTGTTTTGGCGTTGGGGGCGAGATGGCGGTGGTGTTACCGGAAACAGATTGGAGATGACTTCTCCTGTCATGTTGATGGCGAGGAAGAGGGTATAAGAAAGATAGGTTTCCATTGTATTTCCGGTTTTAAGTAATGGAGGAAGCCTTGTGCTTTAGTAACACTAAACAAACTGAGGTTTGGCAACCAGGGATTGTCTTCATCCATGCAATAGAGGCAAGAATCATGTTACAACATTTCTTTATCTTTGCAGTGCTGTAACTGTCTGTACAAGACAGTTTAGGCAAAAAAGACAACAGAATTAAACTACAGGATAACCTTGGTACATAAGAGTTAGGCAAAATAACCAGCGTTTTTCCAAGTGAAATCTAAGAGCACTCATTGGTTTATCTTTGATTTCAATTTTCGATTTCATGGCCAGTGTGTCATGTATAATATCTTTTATCATCCTACTGTACGCTTTCCTGCACACTCTCTAATTTCAGGAATCGAGATTTATTGAATTTGTATATACTTTATAATTGTAATCTCTCATGTCTTTCCCATAAAAAAAACTCTTGTTGTCATTAATTCAACACCATCATCTTGCTTCTAGGCTCCAAAGTGTGTTGAAACTCTCTCAGTTGCATTTGAATCCCTTGAGGAATCCTTTTATCTGCTGTGGGGAATAATGAACTTCAAAGACGGCAGATTGTGCAAAGACTGTATTCATCATTAATAAATAAAAAACAACAACCCCCCTGCTGCCAACCTCTGTTTTCAGGCTGTTCTTTTTTAATGGTAACTGCCCGGACAGCTAATGATTCATTAAAGAGAATGGTCATAGATCCCAAGGAGAATGGAGAGCAGTATCATGACTCACGATCAAGTAAACCACTGGGCAATTAGGTAAGGTGTTAGTCTCACACAGGTGCCAGTTTCAGTACTGTCTTCAAGGGCCCAATACCTTCCCTGTAGGGCACCTCTGTCAAGGAGGGGTCAAGCCCGATGCATTTTGGATGTTGGAAGCAGGTATTGGTCATGAGTGCCCACATGAAAGTTTACAATGAATAATGTATCCTATTTTTGCACCTTCACCATGATTTCCCCCCTCTTATGCTGCAGGTTCAGCAGTCCCAAACTCTGCCTTACTGTCCCGGCCCAAAAGAGTACTATAACATGCTTTAATGGTTGCTGTGGTACACCATTTTTGATGTGTGGTCTGGTAAAGCAAAGCATAATGTCAGAGTGGTTAACCATTATAAAGGATGAATGATATAAGTCTATGGTAAAAGTGGAAAAAGGCAATGACAAATTCAGCGTGGAATTGCTCCTTGAGGATATACTGTAGCTATCTGGTCAGTTTCTCACTAGAGACACTGTGGTTGAGACCCCTTTCATGAATTCATTTTCATTTCAGATTTTGTACCTGGATCACTTTTTCAGCTATTGGTTATTTTGAGTGATACAAAAAGCCTTCTGAATTCTGGCTAAAAAGGACTAGAGATGTGTACCTATATTTTATTTGTTAATTCATATTCTCCAATTCATTCAATCATTGTACAATCATTGTAACGTACTCAAAGGTGCATGTGAAATCATGATATGTCAAGTTTACAGAAGCTGACCTGGATTGTGTCAGCAAATTAAAATTAGGGACAAGAGAAGTTGCACTATATGGTTTCTAAACAGCGGTGCTCCCATCTGTCTTCACAGAACTCCATGAACCTGCCGCCTGACAAGATGAAGCTCCTCAGCCAGTACGACAATGAGAAGAAATGGGAGCTGGTGTGCGATCAGGTAAATGGTGTTGGGCTCTCCTGCTTCTTTCAAATTACAACATACCATACAGTGCAAATAAATATACACTTGCCTTGCCTTTCCATATGTGACTCTAGTCCCACTGAGGGATTAGTGCATATAGGTTACTTGAGCAGCCTCGTGCTACTAAGAGAAATTGAAAACTGGTGGTGAATGGTGCTTGGCAGGATGCTCCAGCCACAGACACACCCAAACCCCTCCTCAGATGTAACATACCCAGCTCTGACACCATGTTGCCTTTTCATCTATTATCCTGTTTGGCAACTGCAAACAAAAAATCATGAAACTTGAGAGATTTTTCTCAACTGAGAGGTGACTGACTGGAGAACTCTGATGCTGCCAAGAGAATCCACATCCATCAGTTTCCCTGCCAGAGACCTCTAAGGTCAAGTCTTCACATATTTAACTTAAGGAATTATACTTTGTTACGGTTCATTTTAGACTCTCTGCTTTATATATTGATCATGAGGCATGTATCCTTACAGAGTTGCTTCCTTTTAATTCTTTATTGATTGAGCTGAGCTGAAATAAGCCTTAATGTTTCTTCATGCTTCTTCAGCAAATCAGTTAGTTAATGACAGCAGTGGCCTGTCTAGCTTTCCTCCACCCTGTCTTTGAGCATAATGCAAGTAGGACTTCAATCTGTTTTGCCCTCCTTGTAAAAATGTTCTTAGCGGATGCTAAATGAAAAATCACAGCAGTGCCTCAGTCCTGCCTTGAAAACTAAGAATAGAAATAATTAATTGCACTTATATAGCACTTTCCTGGACACTCCACTCAAAGGGCTTTAAAGGACTCATGTGTAGCATCCAACTGGATGATGCAACAACGGCCAAAGTGTTCCAGTATGCTCCCCACACATCAGCTACCAGTGAGGGGGAGAACAAAGTGATGAAGCCAATTCATTATCAAAATGTTTGGTTATCTAAAGTAGCTGGTACTGTAGCTGCCTGGCCTGCTTGGCAGTTTCCAGTGTGAGAGTGAACTCCAGGATTGATATTTGATCAATGTAGATGTACTATTTCTCATTTGTGTGTATAGGCAGGACTTTGTGCAAGAGTGTTCTGAAGGCTTGTGTGAGTGTGCAGGCTTAAAGTTCTTTGCCTGTCAATCAAACATGCACAAGCATACACATATTGTATAGTAGTCACTTATTTCTCGTGATCAGTGCATTCATTTTGAACAAGGCCTTGTTAGATTCTTGTTAGTTTCTCACGTTGTTAGTTGTCCCACATGTGGTTGACATCTGAGCTGAAATGGTAGTAGTTTATGTTGACGATGAGCCAGCGTACATTATGTGTCTACTGGAGGGTCCCCTTCAGGCACCAATGCATACAGTATTTCTTCAACTGGAGTGCTGTACCTGAAAAAGTTGTTCACTAATTTGTTAAACAAAAACATTGTATAAACATTTACTTATTTGTTGACAATACCTCTTCCAGAATTAATTATTATCCTAAGAGGTGAGACTTAACCTGTGGAGGTAAATTAATGAAAGGGAAACTAATATGTCAGCAATTGTAAATTTTACATTCTCAGAAAATTCTGCATGATTTTAAAAGGTCTGCATTTTGGTGGGTGATGAATTCGCCTTTCGTCCAAAAGACTATGGAACTGCTTTCTTTCAGTTTGAGGTAAAGTTTGAAAAAAGGTCTTTGAAAGGTGCTTCACATTATTGCCTCAACACTATCGGTAACCCAGGCAACTGAGGTTGCTGTGGTTAGGTTTCGCTGACTTCCTGTGACATGAAGGTCAGAGCTTAGGTTTGTGTACATGTTGCTGTCATAGCGATGGAAGGTAATGACGTAAAATGTTTTGCCTTTGGGTTTTTTTTTTTGCATTCCTAAATGAGTGAACATTTCAAGTGGCAGGATTGATAACATCAATTATGGTATTTGAAAATACTGTGTTTAAAAATACTTTCCAACAAAGTTGATTAAGAGTAATATAAGCGCATTGACAAAAAATAACTGCAACTGCAACATAAAATTTATATCAGTTTTCTTAAACTAGTATACTACTATATGTTAGTATAATAAAATAGTACAGTATATTTAACAAAATAAAATTTAAACCATAAATTAAGTATGCAAAATTGTACATGAATACAATTTACAAAAGAAGAAAATCTTAACTCAGTTATGTATGAAATACAATTAAAAATGTCCAAGAGAATAATAAATTGCTATATAAAATATGGTAAAATCTAATATTATACAGCAATCAGAATGAATTTGAAAAGGTTCAAAGCAACTTATAACCCCATCATTATTTACAAAACGAAGAACACGTTTTGGCTAGGCTTACACCTGAAGAAGGCTCCACAGCCGAAACGTTGTGTTTCTTTTCTTCTCTTTTCAGCAGGGAATAAACCTTTACTTGTTCCTATCATGATTTGTTATTGGTTAAAAACCTGAGTCTCAGTATAGTGGACTTTAAGCTGTAGTCTAGCCTGTCTGCTGATACCAGCGACTATCAGTAATCAGAACAGTAATTCAGACCATAAACACTGAACAATACAGTTAGCATTTCACCTTGGATCGTATCCTGAAGCACTGTGAAAGCCCAAGCCATGGTGAAAAAAGGGAAACATAATGGAAATTGCATCAGCTGCTATTAGCTGAAGGGTTTCTTTAACAGACACCTCCCCACCTCATGCATGTCTCCATTCCCCCCCGACAGGAGCGCTTCCAGGTCAAGAACCCGCCGTCCGCCTACCTCCTGAAGATCAAGAGTTTCCTTGACCAGGGAGTGGTCAGTCGCAAGGTGAGTGGAAAGAGCAGGGACTCGGATCACAGGGATGGAGTTATTCTGTACTGGAGATGTGAAACACCATTGGTCTTTGCCAGTGTTTTCATTCCACAGCAAACTAAGTATTAACTTACAAAACAATTAAAGATATGATCAATCTATAGACCTGAAATGGAATAGATTGGGGCACTGCAGGATTTTTTCACCATTCTGCCCTAAATGAACTAACTGAAAGCATTTTAAACATATGCAAAACAAGGCTGAGATTAAAGTCAGTCTTGTTTGCTGCCATAACTCTGGGGCTTTCTGCAGTATTTCTGAATATCGGTTTTGCAGACCTCCACCATCCTAACCTCTGCTGCGTTTCTGATCTCTGTTCCAGTTCAAGAGAAGAGTGCAGGAATCAACTCAAGTGCTCAGGGAGCTGGAGATCTCCCTGCGGACCAACCACATAGGGTGAGCAGAGGGACAGAGTGGGATCCACTCCGGCTACAGGGTTTCTCACTGCTGGTCCTCAACATGCCCTGTGCCTTCGGGGTTACTATTTTCACAATAATCCTCATCACAGTCCTCAAACCCTGCTAAATGTACTAGATTCTGTCCTTGTCATTCCCTCAATGTTGCCTGATAAGTCTACCGACTCCCATTTCCTCAACCGGACATCACCATCATTCTAAAAACACTTTTTTTTTTAAATCACCTTTTTAAAATTAAACCAGTCACTAGAAACACCAACACAAAATTGGGCTCAGCCAAGAAAACCAGTCGCATCCCACTCTTGCAGATTTGTTTATGTCACTAAAATGAAGCTACTTTCGCTTTATTGCACCAATATATTATTGCTGAGCATTATCACCCTTGGCATCACACCAGCGGGAAACTGTTATTTTTATTTTCCAGCTGGGGACACATCCACCATTTCCAGTTTTCTGCATTTTTGATCACGGGAGACCTCAGCAATTTATTTTGAGTCCGCAATTGGAAATTGAATTGTATCTGGAAAGTGGAACCAAAACAACAGTGAATAATTTCATCTTAATGCAGAGATCAATGCAGTAATGAGGATATTACTTTACATGTCTTGCTACACACCTCACTATCCACTGTATGTTGTACAGTATGTTCAGTGGAGACGCTGTGTGTGGAAGCAATGAAGCCAGATGTGTTACAATAGTGTTTCAATTAGTCTGACAGCTTCTCCTCTCTCGCCTCAGGTGGGCTCAGGAGTTCCTCAATGAGGAGAACAAAGGGCTGGATGTTCTTGTAGAATACCTCTCCTTCGCTCAATGTTCTGTGACGTGAGTACCCACCTTTCTTCCTACTCTGTCTCCAACCCCTGCCATACAGTGGGCTAACTCTGTCTCCAACCCCTGCCATATAGTGGGCTAACTCTGTCTCCAACCCCTGCCATATAGTGGGCTAACTCTGTCTCCAACCCCTGCCATATAGTGGGCTGTAGCTAGAAAATGCACTGTAAGGCTGCTGATGTTTTTCTAATGCAAGGCTGATGCAGTGAACCGCCAGCTTTAAAGATGTATTTCTGTCCTCTCTAGCTACCTTGAAAGCTGTAATCAGAATAGCTGAACAGCTCATACTGATAAATAATGAACAGCATGCACATATGTTTTACCTGTTACTTTAGTCCCCCTTTAAATCTCACAGTGGAAAGAAAGAAGTCTGGTCATAGGGACAATTAAATAAATGCAGAAATAGAGGCATATAAACATTACACTCATTCTGTGAGTGTAACATTTTTTATTCTTAGAGTGAAATTGGGTTCATTGCAATCATTTTTTCACAAACTGGAAGAAATGCAGCTGCCGTAAAAATCAAACACTGAAATTGAATTGTACACAGAGATGGAGCTCCTTTACTTTATTACATTGTAAGGACAGGAGTAGACTGGAGCACAAGTCATTCAATACAGAAGGTAAAATAAATTTAATTTTTAGACAGCAGAGAACATGAGGCTGTGAATCTGAATAATATTTTCAATGTTTTTTTTTAATAATTTTATTTAGAAATTGAAGGTGCACTGTAGAATTTGCTACACCTGAGCTGTTTCAAACTTGTTCAGAAATTCACTTTCTTTCCATAAGAAGATAGAAAGCAAATTTTTCACTGCCTAAAAGGATCAAAGGGTAGTTGCACCTGTGTTGTGAGTTTTGTGCATAATTGATATAAACTACGGTATGTACCGATTATTGATTTCCAGGTGCAGTTTGTTTGCCATAGTCTAGAAGACATTGGTTCTAATGTAGAATGTGCCATAAATCAGTTGTTATTCAAGTGTTAGTGGGCTGTCTTGACTCAAAATTTAAAATGAGACAGAATGGAACATGATCCTTGTGACTGTGAGCTTGCAATGTTATTGAATGAGAGCTGTGTTGGCCAGCATGTCCAATAAGCACACGTCAAAGGAATTAAAGAAGTGTCAGGGCACAGTTTAGGAAAAGATGGATGATGTATTTAAGGTAAAATGCTTCCTTAAGTTTCCTAATTTGTTTGTTTGCACAAGCACCATGCGACAGATGGAAAGAGGACACTGGTTAAAACCTTGACTTCTCAAAGATTTGGTGATTTCACAGGACATCTACTGTACCTTAGAAACTGGGCAATCCTGGCTGAACCAGGACAGGTGGCAACCCTAGTAGAGATTAGAGAGAGTAGAATTCCATTTCTTCCAGTTAATCAAATGATCCGACCATTTAAATCAGTGAGGAACGAGATAGAACAAGCCAGGAGGACCTTCAGCTGTCCAGGCACTTGAGTTTGATGGCCCTGGTTTAAACACATCTGTAATATTTATGCGAACCAGTCCCAAACTCTGCAGCCTGTGCTGATTAGGTCATTGTATATACAGGTATGACATGGAGAGTGTAGATAATGGTGGGCCAACGGTGGACAGAGGGAAGAATCTGGAGAGGTCAGTTGAGGATCTAACCAGGAGCGCTGGCAACTCCCCCACCCACGGTGCCTCCAAAGCCTCCCGCCACCTTACCGTCAGGTGAGTCCCACCCAAGCACCCCTAGGCCTTGGCCCCCACCTTGATGCCTTCATTTAGAGTCTTAGTAAGAGCAGTCTGGGTTGGGAAAGGTCGGATTTCTTTACCATAGTGTGTTCCAGACATTTAACTAGATTGGGGTTATCAAATATTGGGGTCTTTGAGTGCTGCAGGGTCTTCTGTTTTTTGTTTTACCTACCAAGGTCTTTCAACTTCCTTCATAGAGCTAGAACTGATTGATGGACTCATTGCACATGTAGTTATCTTTCCAGATCAAGGCTTTAAGAGCTCAACATAGCTCAAAAATCAACAGCCCAAAACCTGAAAAGAAAAGATAAAATGAAATCTGGAAGAAGCTGTGGCCTACATATCCAGCTTTTCTTTTGAAAGGATGGACATTTTCTCTGAAACATCTGAGCTCATATTCCAGGAGTGTGCCTGAGCACCTCCCATTACCCGCACCATAGTCTGGGCTTGATTCTGACCTGCTTGAATACTTCCCAGCAGCCTCAAAAACTATGCCAGGCAGGATAGACTGGCCCAGCTGTGTACCCTACTAGCAATCGTGACCACAATTTTCTACTGGTGTTAATGCAGATCATCTGTAAATGTCGATTGCTCATCACTGTCCCTACAAAGAGAGAGTGATGCTCTGATTGGTCAGCCCAGCATCCTCCAGTGGTCCATGAGTTAGGAATTTTTTTAGATCAAAAAGTTTTCAAGGCGTCAGTGCCAGGCTGTTATTCTGTCTGACTGTCCTTGAAAGTGTCTATTTGGTCTTTCTATTGCTGCATTGGATTCACACTGTAATGGTGAGTACAATGGAATGGAATGGGCAGGGCAAAGAGTGCAAACATTGCGCAGCTCCTGAAGGTAAAAAGCGAATCCCTAAAAGGAGAGTTGCTGAAAAACTGGACAGTGTTTGATTGGCAACAAAAACAAATGTGTTTTCTTCTTCCATCTTGTTTTTTTCATCATGTCTTGTTTCAGTTCCCTTTCATTTTATTCTTTGTTTTTTTTCCTTTCTTTGCTTTCTTTCATTCAGAATCACACTAATTACGTATCAAATAATAGGCTGTATTGCTTTCTTGAGGTCAAACGCCAACGCTGGCATCAGGCTCTTAATTAGTTTAAAGTCTGCAGTGAGAATTTCTCCAATCTCACCCCACTCACACTGTTAGCTGTGACAAATACGTTTTTATGTAGATGTAAAGGCCATTTAGATCAATGAAAATAAAGGAGAAAAATGTTTGCACAGCTTGCCTTAACCATAGAACTGAGTGCAGTGATAATCACAACAACCCTGGATTCAAAATCCCTTCACATCCCCTTTCTTATCCACCGATGGTACAGTATGATGGTGTTCTGTAAGAGTCACTAGGTAACAAGGCTACGACTTGGAATCACTGGGCTCTGGGTGAATCCTGTGAGTAGAGCCTTGTCTCATGATCCAGCCAGCTCACATAGACAGGATGTGCTTGCAACAAGCTAAAGTTTACAGTATTATTGAAAAACCATGATGTAAAGTCTGGAAATATGCAGCATGATCTGTGAGTTTTATCAGCACAATAGTAATAATTCTTGCCTTCGTATGAGAAGCTGTTTAAGTAATTCTTGTTCAGAGACTTCTGCATTTTTCAATCTATAAACTAAAATTTGAACTTTAAAAATGTTTACTGTGCCCTAAGTATGGAACGGGTATTAATAAAATAGAACTCAGCACAAAGACAACTGTGATCAAGCTTTTTTTTGTGAAACAGGAAAATGAAGGGATTTGGCACCAAATTCCTTTGAATTGTAATTGAACCCAGCAGAAACTTCAGGAGTAAAGCTTTTTCCATATAGCCAGTAGCTGTCATTGTTGTGTGCTGTGATGTGTGTGGAGCCCTCCTGTGGGGGGGTGTGTGTTTGGTACTCTTCGGTTATGGGTGGGGTTATTCCAGGCATTGCTAATGGTTCCACTTTGAATCACACAGTCAAGACAGACAGGAACACCCAGAGGTGTCCATGCAATCACTGGGCTATTCCCACAACTGGCCTGTTTCCCTCAGAAAGGACAGGTGCTTCACTTCAGTGTTAGATGACTTGTATGGTGATCGAGCTGCAGTGAAGTATATTGGGGCTGTGGTTCCTGGGAGATAAATGTCAGTGAATGTTCATTGCGGGACTTGGTGTGCTTGTGAGTGTCTGTCTCATTCTCTGTCTGTCTCCTGGCAGATTCAATTCTCTACACAGCAGGAAGGCCCTGCGGAACTCGCGCATCGTCAGTCAGAAGGATGACGTGCACGTCTGCATCATGTGTCTGCGTGCCATCATGAACTACCAGGTACACTCCCTCGCCCTAACCACACCCCACCCTCCACGGGCCTCAGAACCTCTCATTTTAACAGCATTCTTAATGATCTAGGCTCATTTAATTAACCCGATTTCTTAATTAGGTCTTTTTCCGCTCTTTACTGAAGTCAGTCTCATTGGATTTAAAAATGCTCTGCTTTAGGTGTCTGGATACCATGACATTTATCGAATCGACTCTGTTCAGTGTGCCATAAGAACCTGAAAAAAATAAGGGTCACAATCAAGAGAAAGCCATTTGATGCTCGTTTGGTTGCTAGAAGCTTATTGTCCTCATAACACTAAACAGTTGAGATTGACAGAAACCTTTCAGGAATCTGACTACTTTTATTGTGTCTCCTCTGGATGGCTCTTGCTCCCATACCAGTCTATCAATGAATGGAAGGTTGAAAAAACACTGGTGACCCTGTTTCTCCTGAATTAGGGTCAGAGACTTCCTCACCTGTCCTCTATGATAGTGTTGTGATAACCTTGACAGGCCCAATGTGTCCCCTCTCTGTGTTTTCTACGTGTTGTGACCAAGTTATTCTTCATACGGCTGATCTATGTATCCCAAGTTTAACAGAACCTCGTCCAACTCCCCTTTATTTTCAAGACAGTCTTGCTCAATGACAGTATTGTCTCATCTCCTCCCTAGTCCGGATTTAACCTGGTCATGACCCACCCGCGGTGTGTGAATGAGATCACCCTGAGTCTCAACAACAAAAACCCCAGGTGAGTGTCTCTGTTTTGCTGTGACACTGAAGCCAAGTAACACTTGGAAATTAAGCTAGGATCCCAGCAAAGAGCCCTGCCACTCACTTTGTGGGAGCACATATCTCTTATTTATTAACACAAATTTCTTTGATTGCCTTTTGATTTCATTTTAACACCATGCTCAATGCAAAAACTAGTAAATTAATTTCATTTCAGTTTTGTAAAGAACTGTTGATAACATTTGAATTGGAAATGATGTAAAAGTTTTTAACAAAAGTTAGCAAACTTTTCTAACAGCAAAAAAGTATAGATACTAGAAAGTTTCAGACCTATATACAGTACAGTGGTGTGTGAAATATATAACTCATATATATATATATGTGTTCATGATTTGCATTTAACGTAATGGTGTTTTTGTTATTTCTTCCTCGCTCAGCAGTCACTATGTCTTTCTTTTTTATGTTGTAAACTTCTCCGTTTCCTTCTCTCCATCTCCAGTCTTTCTGTCTCTCTGTTTCTTCAGTGTCTGTGCAGCAGTGGCTCATTGTCAGCTTGCCTGTCTGTGTTCCTCTGTTTGACTGGTTGATGGCTTGATCCATTGTTTTCCCTTTTGCAGGACAAAGGCCCTGGTTCTGGAGCTGCTGGCAGCAGTGTGTCTGGTACGAGGAGGACATGACATCATTCTCGCGGCCTTTGACAACTTTAAAGAGGTCAGGAGATTTTCTTTTTTCCCTGCACTTAATAGGAGTTTTTTGAACCGCCCAATAAATGGTTCCCTCCTTTCACAGAGCCCTGCATTGTGCATAATTTGCTACCTAGCTGTTGCCTCTTAGTTTTACACTGAGGCAGAATTTTATTCCTGGAATCTAGTGTTTGAGTCAAAGCACTACAGTGAGGTAAGATCTGAGACCAAACACTCATTCTAATTTCTAGCCTGTGGGATTGAAATGAGAACAGTTTGCTAAACAAAACCAAGACAACTGTTCACTGAAGGAAGCTGAAAGAAAATGAGAAGACATAACGGATTCACGGGACCAGAGTGACACTACATTTCCCCAAATAATCCTCACGTTCAGCTGAATTAAAGTACTGCAATGCACAGCGTGGAGAAGAAGTGATCACAGGATTAGGAAACCGCGATTCGAGCCAGCCCACAGGACCTCCTGCAGGGCCTCTCAGCTGCACACGCTGTAATCTCACATTGCTCTTGTGTCTGCACAGTAGCTGCTGGGTGTTGGGCGTTGAGCCTGATGCATGCTGGGAATGGGGTGGTTAACATTCTGCTCATTCCTTGCCAACTCTGGGGCTGCTGCCAATCTCAGGCACCCGCCCCCAACTGTTCATCTGCACGCCTGTCTCAGTACGAGAGGGCTTTCCCAAAACGAAGGGGAATGGCACGTGCACGCCTTGACATCTTGAGCCCTCCTGCCACCTCCTCCTTCCTACAGTGGAGGTCAGCTGTCCCCAGGCAGGGCTGCTTCCAGACCCAAATTAGAGACGAGCAGGTGGGAAGAGCTCTTGGTCAGGATGGGGACCGACAGGGAGGTGTTCAAGCTGCAAGTGGGAGAGCTATTTTTAATGCTATTTCCTTTTTGAAACTAGGACTTTTTAAAAACTCTAAAACAACTTGCATTTACTCGGGATACACACATTTCACTTTGCTCTTTAATTTACAAACTAAAATTCCCTTGCATTAACATAATAAGTCACTGTAACTTTGATTGGCGGGTTACCTTGGCAATATAACCATCCAAGAGTAACAGACAGTTTTAACTCCTAACTACATCACTTGCATCTCGGCCCCTGATGTATTTTCCTTTTTCACCTGGAAGAACAAAATAATACTCCCCTCATTTCAAAGACTTCATAAACTTTGGAATTATTTGTCACCCAAGGGGTCCGCTTTATGTATCCTCTCTATGTCCTGCTGTTGCTCACACATTACCAATGCAGCAACGTGTAGTTTCCAAGATCTGATTGTCTGTAATTTCACTATTACCACACAGTGTGATGAGTGAGACCAAAACAAAAGAAGCAAGGTTACAAACAACATGAAGTTATCTGACCACTTTGTTTCGTGATCAGAGGGTCTCATCCAGTTATTTCTTCAACAATTTACTTTAACAGTATGACAGGACATCTTGCTCCAGATACCTGCTACCCTAAATTGAAATGATTCCTGATCCTACTTTTCTTCTTTGCTTTTTACAGCCCCAGGTCCTTATTTCATTACTTGAGTACTTATATCAAGTCCCTCCTTTATCTCTTTTATCCCTTTTGGTCAAGACTGATTAAGTTCTACAAGTCTGTGTTATATATTTTAAACCGGGAATCAATCTGTTCACGTTTTTCATTAGTGTTTACAGTAATGAGCAGTGATAAACACTTGACTCGTGACAGTACTGTACTTGACAGTTCTTTCCAGACACTTAAAAAATAATTTATGTTCCTATGATATATTTGATTCTGGTAAGTTTTCAGATATTTTATAGGGCTTTATCTGTAAAAACTGTGAAAAAATAAAGTCTTGGCAGTGGCTTCTATTAAAGTTATCTTTCAGAGCTTCTCAGAGCGATAAAAATAAACTCAGCAGCAAGGACTGACCTTGAAAAGCCTGTTATTAAGGTCACAAATGAGCTGTTTTCCCTCCATATCACACACTGAATGGAAATGGTATTGATTTCAGCCCAGTCAAACAGTTGTGTTTCCCGGGAATCGGGCAAGAGTGCAGGATAACTGACACCTCCTGGCATCTATCCTGGGCACCCTCCTGAAAAATGTGGGCAATGTGAGTCCCGCTGCTGGAAGGCAGCCAGCGAAGAGGGGGAGTGGCGCAGCCCGCGTGGCAGCTGTGGGTGTGCCAGGGCAGATCGCATTTTCGCAGTGTGGGGCGAGCAGAGCGCGTGGGCATTGTTCAGGGCACAACTGGCAGGCAGTCATGCTGTATTATTCATGGTGTGTCTGTGCGTGTGTGTGTATCTACCAGGACTCATGCCCTTAGATCCGAAACTACTGAGGCCTAGGAAACCTCAAAGTTTCTGCCTCGTTTCTCCTGAGAGATGGGGATAGAGAGAGTGTGGCTGAGGAAATTAGCAGATCTTCAAGTTGCTGTGAAAGCAATCTTACTCTTGATTCCAGCCAAAGATAAGGATTCACAAATATATTTTTCTAACAAGTCATGCGAACCTTGCATTAAGAATAAGAATTTACTGCATATACCACAATGTGTTCCTGCCTCTGAAGTAACACAAAATAGTGTGCTTATCTGAAGTGCACGTCATCTTTGATGCAAAATACAGTCTGGACATTCTTTGTAAAGGAACTGAGCTGTAAAAGAAAGTTGTGGTCCAGTTCTATGACTACTTGTTTCTTGTGCAACACATGGTCACATTGAATTGTCAAAGTAATCCATTTGAAACGACAGGCCATTACAAACTGGTCAATACTTCCATCTTGTGGTCAGTACAGGTAAAGCCTTGGAGAAGGAGTTCATCAGAACAATCCCAGAATCCCATTTAGTCATTTCTGGAAGGAATCCAAAAATCAATCTTAATAACATTCCTGCTCTTGTCACTTTGTAAAGTTTTCAGAAAAGTTTTACTTTGTAATCGACTGGCATCATCAGCCTTTAAGACTTTAGATTAACAGTTTTTCTTGCTTGAATTCTCTGTACGGCAGCAATTTCCTATTCTTTTTGCAGTATTCCCATTGCTTTTATTTCCACATTTTTCAGTATACAGTATGTCAAAGCTTTCAGGAAGAAATCAATATACTGATGATTCCCACACTAAAAAACCTTTTCAGTCTTAAAAAAGAAGATAATGAAGATGATTCATTACACAGGGATGTGGGAGTCTGCAACAAGCTTCTCAGCCTTGTTGACACAGTTGATACTGTACCTTCTCTTCTTTCAAGAAACAGGAGGATAAGAGTCTCGAAATAATTTACCTCTATCAAATAAACACAGATGGGGTGAATGGCCACTAGTCTGCACACTCTGTCTCTTTCTAATGCATTGTGTTTCCCTGCATGTCCCATAGGTGTGTGGAGAAAAGAACCGTTTTGAGAAACTCATGGAGTACTTCCGCAATGAAGACAGCAACATTGACTTCATGGTAAGTATCTCACATACGGAGAGAAATCAATACTTCCCATAAATAAATAAAGTCTTAAGAATTAACGATGCTGGGATCCTATAGGGTTTTAATTTTTTTCAGTCTGAGATGGACTTTGGTGTTAATCCTAGCACTGAACTGCTGACTAAATTGACTAAATTAATCATTATATGGTATATAATTGAAAGAATACTGTATGAAATTAATGGGCAGCAGCAATTCTTGATAAATCGGTAAGAAACAAATTGTGCTTAAAAACTGGATTTTCACAAAATCATTATCTGTCAAAACAGCAGTAGTGTGTGAATGTTAAGCAAAGAAACTGATTAATTACTGACTGAGAATATTACATTAACATGGAAACATGTTGCAACTAATCTGAACTTCAGAACTCCAAACTCCTTATTTTATTTCTAAAATAATGTTTATATAGAGCTACTGATTTAACATTTGCAGTGTATTCAATAATATTTACAAATTACATGCTATACTTAATTTTCTTAAGTTCAGTGCGCAGTTTAAAACCGCCTGAGTATGGTCTGACAGCTTGCTCTCCTGTCTCTCCAGGTGGCCTGTATGCAGTTCATCAACATTGTGGTCCATTCTGTGGAGAACATGAACTTTCGGGTGCACCTACAGTATGAGTTCACCCACCACGGCCTGGATGAGTATCTGGAGGTGAGAAACGGCTCCTCATGTCACAAGGACTTGAAGAACACTGTAGAAGGTTTCTAATCTTCACTTACCAGAACCATTCAACATTTCTTTATGTCTGAAGTCAGTGTTACTGTAATGTAAAGTGATCCACAGAATCCACTGCACTGAGGTCCATCAGTATTGCAACTGAGACGTTGCAAGGCCTAGGAGACGAGCTAGAGACTCCTGCCATAAAGCAGGTGTTGATTTAAACAGGCCCTTTGGGATTTCAAAACCCGAGAATTATTGAAAAATATTGTCAGAAAGTTAGAAGCCCTCTAACACTGAAGAAGGTATTTGGGGTCCAGCACAGCCCTGCCCTGGTCAAGGACAGTGTCTTTTCAAAGTGTTAGATAAGTTGCAAATCATAAGAAAATTCCAAAATCTTGCTTTAATGCAGTGATCAGTTCTGCAAGCAAAGACAAAGTGTGAAATGAAAGGAGGCCATAGGAGTCCTTCAGGATGCCAGGGTTTTCAAGGCGTTTTTACCAATGTTTCGGGAGGAAGCCAACCCCTTCCTATCCCACTTCTTTCCATCAAACACCACACCAAAATAAGTTTCTTAAACACTTCACAAGTTTTACTGAGCATCCCTTGCAACACCCCAGCATCGCCCCCTTGTGGCAAGCCCTTGGATAATCCCACCTTGTTCTACAGATTCAGATGACCTTTTCCTTATTGTCAGTTTGTCATTATTGTCGTTAAAGGCTAGCCACTGTCGTTCCATGACATTTTCTTTTCTTGCCAGGATACCTTCCAAAGCCAAAACTGGCACCTTTTGTTTATTTTGGCATTAAATTAGCCAAAGTGGGTCTTAACAAGATCATTCCAGCTTGTGAGCTTCATCACTTTCACAAGTGGTTTTCAAAATAGTTACCAAACTAAATTAAAAAGCAGAAAGCAGGAATCAGTCCAATCATCTCTTGTCAAATTCTTTTTGTTGCAGGAACAACCTTTCAAACAAAATGCAACATGAAGTCAGACACAATGTCCTCCGTGTGCTTTGTATAATTTTGAAAGGTTTGTCCACCACAGCAGGTCTGAGCCCTGTGTTTCCTTCTCTCTCTCCCCTAACAGAAGTTGAAACACACAGAGAGTGACAAGCTCCTGGTGCAGATCCAGGCCTACCTGGACAATGTGTTTGACGTCGGGGCCCTGCTGGAGGACGCAGAGACCAAGAATGCGCTGTTGGAACACATGGAGGAACTGCAGGAGTTCAATGCAAAGGTAACAGACATGCTGACTGATACATAATTTCTCACCTACACACCCACACAGCAAAAAGACAGAATCTGTTTCCCTGTCTCAGTTCCACCAACAGATCAGTACCTACACAATTCATACTGATAGTCCGTGCAGGAGCGCTCGCTCACAAAACAAACATGAAAGTGGTATGAAACCTCAGCACAGAGGCAGCGATATTCAGTGACACTCCCACACTAACCTGCACATTGATTTACACAAGCACATACAGTACTACCACAGACAGACACACACAGTTCCAGGTAAACACTGGCACCCTGGACCTCAGATTGATTGATCGCTTGGTTGGATGGTTGATTGATTGTTGTAGATACCCTTACTACCACTTGCTAGGACTAAGAGGAATCAATAAAACTGAGATGGACATTATTGTTGAGTAAACTATATTTAAACTATTAACACACCAATCCTTGTTTCAGATACAAGGTGCCAATACTTAGGTTCATAGCTCCATAACACTAGTTTGAAATATTTTTCATTTCATAACAGGGAATGCAGAAAATAAATGTTAGAAAACAAGCATTATACTTACTTACAATATCTGACAGTAAAGGATTTTGAACTACAGGAAGTGTAGTTGTTCTATAGTTTGGAAGGATAAAATTAAACACTAGGCATAATCTTGTTTTTTTCAAGATCTGTTTTGACCAACATGTAAAATATATAAGTATAAATAAAAACAAACACAATATAGGATAGTATGTTTGAGCATTATGTGGATGGACCTTTGCCATGTTCTGTAACAGGATGAGAACAGGATCAAACACTTCTCATGCACAAACACCATGATGTTCTAATATCTATGAGAACCTTAGTAAATGTCATTGCTCCTTAGGTCTCTTGAACCTTAGGTTCAAGTCAAAGGTGAAACAGAATTGAGGTGCATTGACTGATACCCAGAAAGAAATTCAAAATGATGCCCCCACAAATAACTTAGGTTTTAGTTTTTTTTAGAAAGTGCAGAGGTAACCATAAAAAAAACATAAAAATTTACCTTGTGATGCTATTTTTTTCTTTCCTGATCTATAAAAATGTTAGTCAGAGGAGGACGTTTATCTATTTCATCTCATAAAACACATTTAATTAGCTTTTTATTTCCTCTTGCAAATGGAATGAGGTCAGTTTCAGCTTGGCTTCATATCACTTTAATACTTTGATCAGCAGGGGGACCTGTCTCAGGAGCCTTTCTAATATGCTCTGGTACCCAGCTGCAGCAGAGACAATTATTAAACGTGAGCTCTGCCTTTTTAAAATATATTAATGTATTTAATATTCAGGTATGTCTTTACACTGCTATCTAGTGGAATATCAGTGGTCAATTCCCAGGTGCTTAGATGTGTGGTTTACTTAACGAGGTTTAAATGAGCAGCTTCATAGAAACACTCCATTTTAAAGTGTTCCGTCATAGTGATGTCTATACAGCTCAGAAAAACGGCGTTGAAAACGATGGACATTGACAGTGCAGATTGAAAGATTCCCTGACTTCCTGCATGTGTCTCTGTCCTTCCCAGCTGAGTACTGAGATGCAGAAGAGTGAGGATGAGGCGATGGAGAAGGTCGCCGAGCTGCAGAAGCAGCTGCTTCAAGCAATGAAAGAAGTGGAGATGCTGAAGGTAAGAGGAAACAAGTAGAATCAGACATCAAGTCAGTAATATGCTGAGGGCCAGGCGGTCCAGTTTTGTAATGAGAACAGGTCCAGTTTCAAGGCCTGACTGACACGCAGAACAAGGTACTGAACTCCAAGTACCAGGTCCTGTGAATGAAATGTAAAAAGTAATGTGGGACTCAGCACCAGCTACACACATGAAGCGTATTTTCACTTCTACATCTCCATGAATTGGAAAATGAGTTTGGAGCTAATAATGGCTAATTACCATTGTCAGCATCATTATTTGTCTGCATTTTGTAAAATAAATGAATATCAGTCAAGCACAGAGGAGATTGGATTCAGATGCTTAAAAATCATCATTTTAAAAAGTCAGTGATAAAACCATGACTTGAGGACATAAATAGATAATATGAGCTGGAAAATGTAGGACTGAACTGGAGGATCATTACTCAAGGACTTGTAGGTATCTTGTGAGGATCAAGCGGCTGTTGAAGTCATCTTCATGAAATAACACAAAAAACAGCTGAATGTTATTCTTAGATGAATAAGATACCACCAAATAAACAAGACGCCACATTTATTAAACTATTTAGTTCTGTCCTAATGTATGTCTCCTCCAACCTGTTAAGCTCTTTGAGGAACTTTGGGTTGAAATGGGCTATACATATGAGAATTATCATTAGTAGAAAGGCATCCTAGGTGCTATTCTCTGTGTTGTATCTGTGTGCTGGTGCTGTACTGATGCACGCTGTCGGTGCTGTGTGGGTCAGGAGAGTCTTCGGGAGTCCTCCTCTCTGATCAGCACGCTGAGGCAGAAGGAGCAGGACAGGGAACGTACTGCTCAGGCCACCTCCGAGCTGGAGATCAAAGTGCAGGAGCTGCAGGACAAGGGATTGATCCGGGTGGCCCGATCCAGTACTGGCTCCTTGGACATCCAGGTCATCCCCATCACCATAATTGAGATGGCCCCCACACCGCAAACAGGTCAGAATCCCTCTGATGAGCCTATCGCTTGCAGTTCTTGACTGGATTTACTGTGGGTCTGTCTAATTTAGGCCATTACACAGCAGCTGAAATTAAAAATTTGTATTCATTGTCTCTTGCAGTCTCCAAAAAGGTCTCCTCAAAATTCAGTCATTACATTATAGATTTCTTTTTGATATACTGTATAGTCAAGAAATAGATGCATGACTGTGAAATATTTCAATCATGTTGTGGTTTGTTTTGTTTTATTCAGGCCCAGTTGCTCAAACAGATGTAGTGGACAAGGCAAAGCCACAGACACCCTCTGTCACACCCCCTGCCCCTCCTCCTCCCCCACCCACAATTCCCTCAGACACACCCCCAGCTACCACATTGATCCTGCCTCCGCCCCCTCCCCCTCCCCCTCCACTGTCTGGCTCAGGTGCCCTACCCCCTCCTCCTCCTCCCCCTCCTCCAGGTGGAGCCAATGGGCTAGTTCCACCCCCTCCTCCACCTCCAGGAGGTCTTCCTGCTGACAGTTCTTCTCAAGGTAAACTGATTCAGATATCAGATGTGCAGTATGGACCTTAGGACATTAAAACTGCAATCAACTGTCATTCAGCTTTCTGCATTCTCTGACACAGTGATGTCCATGAATATCAATTTTTGCAAACTACTTGATCTATCATATTCTTTGGTTACTGTTTGATAGGTAAATATGTCCATTCCCTTTGCATTAAAATATTTACAGTTTTACCACTGTAGAAACTTGAATTTAGAAAAAATGTGTGCCTGGAAAGTCAGGCTTTTGCATGATTATCCATGATGAAAGGAGAGAGAAAAGCCCAAATCACTACACAAGGCTTAAAGATAGAGATTGTGCTGTTTAGTAAGTTGCAGTTTCTAAGCTTGTTCCACAATGTAGTTAATGTCACACCATCTGCAGAGGACAGTGTTCTGTATGTGGAGCAGAGTTCAGTATTCTGAGACTATCTCTTCACAGGACCCTTAGGTAGAGAGGACTGTTCACATGCTGAAGGCGATCAGCTTGCTCTATAAGTAAATACCAGCATTCCTAGGGGGGTTACCTGTGATAGACAAAGATCCCAACCACTTGAGTCTTGTGTTCTCAGATCAGCAGTTCAGACACAAGGTAGACCTCTTGTAGACCCTTGGGTAGACCCAAGGTAAGTCCTACAATGCACTTAAAATAAATCAATTCTGAATTCCTTGGAATAGTCCTCTTCAATGAGTTGTCAAACACTATCGAACTCCAGCCATCTTATTACTGTTAATTCTGTAGCTCTGTGGTCCCTGTGTTATTGTCTCTGTCAGGGATTGCTTTCCAGTTGTCTCCACTGTTGATTTGTTTTTAGAAGAAATGGGGCCCATCCCGTTGTGTCAATGTTAATTACTTCTCTCCTTAATACAGGATGCAAAGCCAAGAAGCCCATCAAGACTAAGTTCCGTATGCCACTGCTTAACTGGGTGGCTCTCAAACCCAATCAAGTCTCTGGCACTGTTTTCAATGAGATCGACGATGAGCATGTTTTAGGGGTAAATTAATCATTTGTTTTTTTGTTTTCAAATTGCCGTGTTTCACTTCGCTGTATAAAAATATTATTTTCTCTGTCTCAGTAACTCACCGGGAGGCCGCTGCCTCGCTTAAAATCAGTACAACCCCATACACTTGAGAAAGGTCCCCCGATTGGTCCAAATTGATTCCAAGAATAAGCCTAGATTGTATCAAAATTAAGATTAAGGTTTGCATTTTTTAAAAGGCAAGTGGTCAAAGATATCTTTCAATCTGGCTGAATTGCATAGTTAAGAGCTCAGCTGCAATGAAAACCCAAAGATATTGTGGCATGCCATCCGGGACTGCAACAGGTCTGCTTTCTTCCACTTTCTTTTGTCTCTGTTCTTACTCCATGATCCTCTCAGCAAGTCATTACCTGCCTCTGTGTGGTGTGCTGAGCCAGTGCAGTGTTTGTGTTAATGTCCCTGCCATTCCTATCTCTCCCACTAGGATCTGAACATGGAAATCTTTGAGGAACAGTTCAAGACCAAGGCTCAGGGCCCACCTGTTGATCTGGGTACCCTAAAAATGAAGGTGGTCCAAAAGGCTCCCAGCAAAGTGTCCCTCATTGAGTCCAACAGAGCCAAGAACCTGGCCATCACCCTGCGCAAGGGAGGGATGAGTGCCCCAGATATCTGCACTGCTATAGAGACGTACGGTCACCACACTACTTGCTTAACACTATGCTGCTAATGTGCATTACACTGCACGACGTGTACTATATGGAAGAATGTATGCGCCACTCCTGTGACAATGGCATCTACAGTTCCTGATTCTCTATCAGTTATTCTTCATGACAGATCTTTTTGTTCTCTCATAGGAAGCACATGTGATTGTATTTTCTGGCTCATGTTTCATGGCCCACCTACCTTCGGGGCAATTCTTTATAGCAAAACAAGTTGTTCAGCTAATACCACCACGTTGAACTGTGTCATAAGATATCAGTTTGTTGTGCAGCATCCATGTGTCTTGAGGTACTACTGGCGGTGAACATGTTTGATATAATAAATACCTGGAAATCAAACTGATTTTATAGAAGATCAGCTTCTCTAAAATGGCTTTGTCTAGCCAATAAAATAATTAAAAGTTGCTTATGTGTGGCAGCCTGTCATGGTGGTCTGTTAATCCATCGCTCAGGTACGACCTACAGTCCCTGAGCCTGGACTTCCTGGAGCTGCTGGAACGGTTCATCCCCACGGATTACGAGCTGAAACTGATCCGCAACTACGAGAAGGACGGAAAGCCTCTGGACGAGCTGTCGGAGGAGGACCGCTTCATGATGCGCTTCAGCAAGATCCCACGCCTGGCCGAGCGCCTCAGCACCCTCACCTTCATGGGCAACTTCCCCGACACCGTGCAGCTGCTCAAGCCGGTGAGCCTCAGGGCTGTCCCAGGCGCGCTCAGGCGCAGTATGAATGCAAACTTCATTGATAAGAACAAATAACACATTATAAATGACAAATTACGTGACAATACACATGACCAATTTAATTACATTTTCAGTTGGGAAGTTGGTTTCTTCACTTGTAAGTGTCTAAACAATTATTATTTCTCTTATATCTTCAGCAATTAAATGCCATTATAGCTGCATCTATGTCCATTAAATCTTCAACCAAACTGAAAAAGATTTTGGAGGTAAGAGGTTGTTTTTTTTTGACTGACTTGATGATTTTGTGCTGTGGAGGGGGGTTTGAATGAGGAAAATACTTTTCCCTATATTAAGAAACATATGAAAAACATAAAACACTTTCAGTATACCCACACAAAATTGTTTCAGGATCCTTTTAACACTAAGGTACTAGTAAAATGCCAAATAAATGCATGAGTTGGTGTGTTTATTAAGTCAGGAATACATTAAACACTATTAAAGACCTGTAAAAAGTAACAGGATTTGGCCCAGAAAAGTCCTAGTATTTAAGTATAGTATTTCATACAACTAACCACCAGAAACTAAGAGAGTTTGTGACTCAGAGATTTCAATTGCCAGTTTAGTACAAAAACATTATGTGAAACTATATTTAATACATTTCTCTATATGTTTAGTATTTTGAAGTCATTTTGTGTGCTTTAAACAAGCACTGCAATTTTCAGTGCGCTGCCTGAAACCAGGGTTAAGTATGGAGAATTTGTACAGAGGAGAGACATGAGCAGCAGCTGAAAGCCACCACCCACTTTTGCTGCCTTCTGATGTGAAGGAGACAGTACAGGGTCAGATTTCAAAGTTTACTCATTGCATTATCATGCCTTCCTCTGCGTTTACCTGCTGTGTCTTCACAGATCATCCTGGCATTTGGTAACTACATGAACAGCAGCAAGAAAGGGGCAGCATATGGCTTTCGGCTCCAGAGCCTGGATATGGTGAGTGCAGCCCAGACAGACCTGAGTGGTATGAGAGGAGTTGAGAATGTTTGGCTATAATACTAAACCCCTGATTGACACAAAAACCTAAAGAGATCTAATTGCCCATTTTTTATTATTTTAGGGCTGTTGCACCTCTTTCTGAAATGCATTGGGGACTCTTCTTTTCTCTGTTCTAATCCTGACAATCTAATCCCCCCTCAGCTGCTGGACACCAAATCCACTGACCGCAAGCAGACTCTGCTGCACTACATTGTTGGTATCATCCAGGAGAAATACCCTGATCTCAGCTCTTTCCACACAGAGCTCCGTTTTGTGGACAAGGCAGCGGCAGGTAACAAAAATTCATTGGACAAGCATTGAAAAGAGTTTACCAGGTGGTTTTTAAAACGTAATGTAACTGGATTCCACAATGTGGAAAGTTAAATATATCCAGGAAAGGAAACTATTAAGGGAAGTTGGGTAATTCAGTTAAGGATAAAGCCCTTGTGCTCTCGAGTTCTACTCCTAACTCACCAGGTGTTACCTTGCCCATGTTGTGAGACCTCCATGTGCTCCTTCCTAAGACACCCATGATTCTACTGGAAGTAACTCTGCAGCAACAGCTGTCATTCCCTGCTCACTTTAGGAAGGGCAGAGTAAACTAAACGTATCAACTAAAAATCGAACTCTATTTTTTTTTCCTCGCTGCCTCTCTGCATCAGTGTCTTTGGACAGCATCCTGCAGGACCTGCGCACTCTCCAGAAGGGCATGGAGGTGACCCGGAAGGAGTTCATGGTGCAAGATGACAATGCAGTCCTGAAGGAGTTCTTGAAGAACAGCAACGACGTGCTGGACAGCCTGCAGGCTGATGGCAGGACCGCTCAGGTTAGCCTCCCTCTGGCATCTGCACTAGAAATCATGCCCCTACTTCAGACTGGAGATCAGACTCCTACTTCAGGACCATTCAAACCATTTCAGGCTTAATCGGGTCTTGAGGCTAGTACAAGTATGTGTCTTGACAACAATCTGCTTGATACATGTAAACTGATTTTGATCAGGTGTGCCGGCGAAGGTGCTTGAAGTTAAAGTAATGTTAACTATATTTTTGTAATTTAACTGTATTGTTCTCAATTGAAATAGTATTTTCAACATTCTCCACATGATTATTCTGTAACGGTTCCTGATATTATGAGTAGCCAGAGTATTTGATCCATTTCTGTAGCTTGACATATAGCTACGTATCCAAAGAATTTGATTTAACTTATGATTAAAATCACAAACCTATGACTTTATCTACACCAGCCTACACTGTGAAGTTCTTAAAGTATAAAACATTAGAAAGAAAACTTGCTCGGATTGATAATGAAAAAGGAGCACAAATTAAACAGCAAGGATCCTGAATCCGATGAAACATTGAGTTAAACAAAGTTTAAAGTTTATTTAATGTTGCTTCAATAATTTGAGTAATGCCCCTGTAATTTCTCCTTTCACTTGTTCACATCCTGAGAGGCCTATAAATGTCTTGGTTGACACTCTTTAAAGACTGTAAGTTTGTTTCAGGATCAGAGATGTGTATTGGAAGGTGCTGTGTTACACTCACATCTCAGCACTGCTGAGGTTGAGCCAGTCTGTAACAAGAAGTGTCTTCGTGTTCCTCCATCTGAATGCTGGTCTCCTTTCTGTCCTTTAGGAGGCGTATGATTCTGTGGTGGAGTATTTTGGGGAGAATTCCAAGACCACACCACCCTCCATGTTTTTCCCTATGTTTGTGCGATTCATCAAGGCCTACAGGGTGAGTACACAGAACGAGAGACTTCTGACAGCCGCCAGCCATGAAAAGCTTCATTTGCAAGATGAGAGAAAGGTTGATGTTACTGCTGGTGTGTCCTTTCGCCCCCTTAGCAAGCAGACCAGGAAAATGAACAGCGGAAGAAGCAGGAGGCTTTGGCCAGTGAAGGTGGAGAGAAACCTGCAACTCCCACCAAGACCGAACAGGCTGGACAGAAGGTGCAGTGCCCCACGCTCACAGGGCTTCTATGTGAAAATGTTCTGTGAATAATTGCCCGACATGTAGCACTCTCCAAAGAATGTGCAACTGCCATTCTTGGAATTAGAGTCATGGAGGTTATTGAGGCCTATTTAAATCAATCAGCTTACCATCCTTGAGGAACATTTAAATGAGACCAACTGAACTTTATTTGGAGAAAAACAAATAGAGAAACACTCCTCTACAGGAATAAATGTATTTACACTTTAGAGATGCAGTCATGCTGGACTCAAGATACTGGCCTCCTTAATGCCCATCATTACAGGTAGCAAGCAATTGTCCATTATATGCCTTTAATTTGCATTACAAGCTCCACACATATTGTAGATGGATACTCCTGACCTTTGCCCTTTTGACATGCAGCAGCCTGCCATGATGAAGCTGCCCCAGATGGATCTGATTGCAGAACTGAAGAAACGCCAGACGAAGCCCCTGGTGAGGGAGGGCAAAGACGGAGCCATTGAGGACATTATCACAGGTGAGAGACATGCAGAGTTAGGGAGAGGGAAAAACTCACAATGATGAGATACACAGTGCAGGAGTTTATCAGAAGACAGGAAGTTTTCTGAGCAAGGGGACTGAATTAAGTGATCTTAACACTCGAGCCTGAGAGTCAGTGTCCTTCCAGTAATCTGGAGGTCTCTGATCTTTCCACCTGGCCCTTAGTCAATTTGAAATTGAGTGGAAGACTTTGATCCAGTCTGCACCGAATGAATGGCCTCTCCGTCTCATCAATATTACAGTTTGCTTATCAGAAAATTGGTGTTCGCAAATATGTTAAAAAAATCATAATACCTATTGTGACATCTGAAATGTTGGGCTTTTGCTTATACAGCTTCAGAATAAAAGCTATCTGTAATCTACCTTTGCACATAATCTTTCTTTTCACTGGTGTCTTTTTTCTCTCTTTCTCTGAATCCAAAAACCTGCCCCTCTCACTCAACATTGTATCCTGCCTGATCTCTCCTCCTTCTTGGATCACATAATGTTTTCCTCTCATTTTCCATTGACAATCTCCTGTTCTCCTTGTCTGTTTTGGATTGCAATTGATTTCCGTATTCTACTCACGCTCTTTCTCCTTCCTATTGAACTGTCCTCTGGTTATTCCTCCTTTATCTTCTCCACGTTCTCCTTCTTCTCCATTTCTTTCTCCTGGCATCTGGCCCTCTCCCCCTGCCTCTTTATCCTCTTTCCAAATCGCTTACAATCCATTCTCTTTTCCCTGTCTCACACTGACCTCCCTCCCTGACATGCTCCATCTGCCACTTTCACTCCCTTTTCCACATATCCCCCACATCCCAACTCTCCCTCCCGATCCCCCATTTCCTCTTCCATTCCGGGCCCCAGCTCTAAAGACGGTGCCCTTTACGGCTCGCTCTGGCAAACGTGCGTCTCGTCTGCTGTGTGATTCCGGCTTCAGCGACGAGAGCCCTCCGTAGGCCCAGCTCTGTCCCGCTCCTACTCTGTAGGTAACCGGGATTGTGGGATTGTGTCTGGGGAGGGGACAGTAACCTCAGTTTTACAGGTGTTTACTGGAGGGATCCGCACAGCTCCCACTGATAACCATGCCAGCTTATAGTTTGGTATTTGTGGTTACACAGCAAAGGAAAGCCCTCCTCCCAGGTAACTTCAAATCATCCCGAACCTGGCAACACATGGTCACTATTGTGCTGACCTTTAGGGGATTCTGGTCAAGGATGGCTTAGGAGGTGGCCAAGATTCTCACCATTAGCCTCTGTTCCACAAGCAGAGACCTTCACCAGTTAAGCCAGTCTATTTTAAATTAATTCTGGAAACGTGGCTCTTAGTCATGGTCCTGGAGGAACTCTGTATCTGCTGGTTTGTGTACCAGCTGGGCCCTCAATCATCAGTGTTAATTGCTATCAGAACTAATCTGCATCCTTGTTTAGTATTTTGTCTGCATCTCTCAATCCTGCTCCCTGACCTAGTGTCTTCTGATTTGTCATTTCTACTGAGCTTCTAATTATTTAGACTAATTGAACTACTGTTGATTAAACCTTTTTGTGCAATAAACATATTTTCAGCATTCAGAAATGGTAACCAGCATAACAAAATAGCTTTAACCCTGTATGAAGTGCTAGTTTTCAGACTGCTTATTCCATGTGTCTTTGATACAGCATAATTCAGACTTATATTGACTATATAGCATTAATTTGTAACAAGCATTGCTTAGATAATTGTAAGGCAGTAACAATTTATGAGCCAGTTGAGAACACACAGACTAAACAGTTCTGTTTGATAAATAGTCTTATCAGCGAGGTATGTCTTAAAAAAAACAATGACTGAACACAGATACCAGTTGAGCAAATATTTCACATAAAGGCTTCATTAGCCTGAACAATCAAGAGTTTGTTTGCAACACAAAAAATGGGGTTCTGAGAATTAGGATTTTAAACCAGGCCTTATTTCACCTCTGCCCAAGAACCAGCATTCTCCTGCTTGTGTCCACTCACCTGAGTGATTCTGTGTCCCTCCTCTCTCCAGACCTGAGGAACCAGCCGTACAGAAGAACAGACGGAGGCCGGCGCAGCGCCAAGAAGCGAACCAATGGACAACAGCTCCAGGTCTCCTCGGACATCTCCCTGTGACCTGGACCCAGTGCACAGCCACCTGCAGCCTCTGTATGCCAATGACCAGTTACAGGCATTGCCTATGTGACCTGTTCTTCCACGAGGGAAGTGCTTTTATCAGAGTCCCCAGTCTGGTTCTTGAACTGGCTTCTATTTCCAATGGAGCTGATTGTGATCAGACCTGGAAAACATTGACAACTCCGAAGATTCCTATTTAAAAATGCGCTGTATTTTGAGCACAGAGTGACTCTTATTTCCCATTACAGTACTAAAGATGTAATTTTAAATGTGAGGCTGATCATGGGAAGCAACTTGGTTAGACCAAGGCTACCTCAAGATATCAAAGTTATTTAATAAAATGCCCAATGCAGATAGGTATATAATATATACAGGTACACCTTATTAAACCCAATGTGGATAAACATAATATTTACTCTTTTAAGACACACAATGACGTACATTTCTTGCAAAAATAACTTTTGAACTTTTGGGTTTGAAATTAATCTGCGGTCTTCGCAATGAAATCACTAAATACATTAAAATAAAGGTAAATTATTTTGATAAGCCAAGGATATCTGGTCTTGCCTACTCTTAAAAATAACTTTAAGAGAGTCTTGGCCTACAAAGTATCCAACACAGTACAAATATACATAGATCCGTAAAACAGGAACGGTCCTCAAAACACTTCAAGTAAAAATATCCAACTGGAAGTCATACATTTTCAGCTGACACTTGAAACAGACATATATATTTATAAATTCTCTTATGCAACTGAAGAGGGAAACAAAAGCTAACTGTAACTCTGTGTTTAAGAAAAAGAAGATCAGTCCATAAGATATTTATTGAAAATGTTTAGCCTGTATTTCTCATTTCTGGACAGCAAACTTTAACTGTAGAGGGCAGGTGTCTGAAATCCTAACCTGGATGACTACAGTGTCTCTGGTTTCTCTTTCAGATACTGATTCTTATCAGGTTTACTATATAACTAATTGATTAGCATTACCATCTTCGTTCAGCAGGTTAGAGATTAATGACACCTACAACACCTGTCCATAGAGCTTTGAAACATTTGGGCTGTCTGTTTTATCCTTGTAAGACATAGCAGCACTAAGCTTGCTCCCTTTAAACATACTCTATAGATTGTAATATAAACGCCTTTGACAACTGTATTTAAAAATATTTTTCAATATTTTCCAATATTTCATGAGAATTAGCTACTCATAATAACCACAGCACATCTCATCACTGAAGTTTAATTTCTGAATGGTAAATAATAAATGAACAAGTGGAAGACTTCTTACATGTACAGGCTGTATTGTATTTTACTTAGAAATGGGAAATGTACCTGGCTTGAAAACTGTAACTGGCTGCCGTCAATTCTGTGATCGCTGGTTTGCCTGGGCTTTTCTGAGACACAAGATTGCACAGGCAGAGCTTCTTTGTCCAGGTGCTAGAACATCATTTGTACAATTAATGCTTTTTTAAATCAAGCAAGAGTTACCCCAGGCATTTTTTAAAAGCTATCTTTGTTATTTTTTTTGTACTTTTCTTTCTTTAAAGAGTTTTGGACTAATAAAAATAATTTTATACCACAATATTGTCTGATATTCATCTTTTTCAATTAAATAACTAACATTTGAACCACACAACCAGGAAGGGGCCTGTGGTGTTGCTTTGGCGGCTGCTGTTTGTCATGAACTGATAAAGATGGCATGGAGGTACTTGTTTGGAGGAAATGTGAGCAGAACTCTGGCAGCCATGAAAGAGAGTAAAATGGAAGTTCTCTTCCCTCACTAATGACTCCAGACGCAGCAAGACACAATGTTGATGGTTTACTGTCTTGAAACTGCTAGTCTGTAAATATAAAAAAAGCATTTTAAGGTAACACAACACCTTTTTCAAAGTGTTCTTTATACAGTATGTAGTTAGAAGAGTGGTTTGGAACAAGGCTCAAGAAAATCCCATTGTTTTGAGTGTAACATTTGCATTTTAGTAAAAAGAAACCAAAAACAAGGAACATAACAGGATTTTACACTACAGAGAATGAGCTAGGTTGAGGGTTTGGGATGAGGTTAGGGATCATTGTTACCACATTTATTCTCGAAACCATGCCTGCATCATTATTGCCAGTCTTGTCCTGTATCTCAAAACAGCAGGGATTGAGTGAGTCCAGGCTTGGAGCTGAGTTTCATTATACTGGGAGAGTTGTTTATAAGCCACTTTCCTACACATCACTAGAAGACTTGACAAAGTCAGCCATTCAAATACAGCAGGTCTTTTCTGTGCAATAAAGCAAAACAGCCTTCCTCAAACCCAAGGAGAAATATTGGCAGAGCATTTTCTGATGGTACTTTGATAAAGGCATTAGAGTGAGATCTATGCCATAATAAAACAGCAGGTTAGGTGTTCAACAGGACAGATCAGATTTGTTTGCTTTGTGGAAGACCTTTATTAATTGGAAAAACCTGTACAATGGGGCACACCTGGTTGGATTAATTAGCACTCAGAGGGACTGAAATTCCACATGTGGGAAAGGAGCTTCGGCATTGGCTCTGTGAGGAATTGGCCACCTCTCTTGGCTAATTAAGAGGCTAATAAGAACAGGTAGGAGGCAAAGGTGTTAAGTCTGTATCTAGGTTCCAGTTCAGAAGCAGGAAAAGTCAAAGCTCCAGGGAGGGAGAGAATTTCTTTAGTGTATGGCTGGCTTACAGGCCAGTGAGCTTGAGGAAAATAGCTTTGATTGTACTGAGGGGCATCACAGGTGCTGGACAGGAGGGCTATATGGTGTTTTAGTTGCCAGGCTCAGTGGAGAAGACTCTTTCCTTGGGTATAAAAATGCCTTTTTTTTCCAGCATAACCTACTGATGTAAAGTTTTGTTTTTTATTTCAAATATATGGGAGTATAATCAGTACTAGCTTTCTCAAAAGCTTTATGCTAAAATTTTCAAGGTGAATGAGCCTTTCCATGGATCACATGAAAAAGACATCCTATTTGCTTAGTGAGAAGTCACTTGCAAAATTGCATTGAAATAGAAATTGAATTATTTTAACTATTTTGGAGTAATTGTTGTGGGTTCTGCTTTACTATCCAAGCATTACACAAAGATGAAAGAAGAACCTGATCCGCTATAAAAGTTTAACTCCTTTCAAAAGGTTTTGGTATCTTAAGTATAAATAAAGCTTTTAAGAAATAGGTAGGTTGTTGAGAAACAACTGCAGTGCAGAGATAGCCAATTGTTAATACAGCCCTCTTCCTCGTAGCTGCTGAGATGGGCTCACTCTGGTGCCACCTGGACCTTGTATCTGTCTGCACATGTTCCCTCCAAGAACACAAATAGGCACAAGGGCTGTGTTTTGTAAAGGATTCTTACTTCCACAACTGAAGGATGGAAGATGTACAAGAGGAAAGCATGTTTCCTTTCCTTTTGGGCTGCCACCCATCCACACATCCATTTTCTGAATGTTTCTCCAATTCAGGGTCATGAGGGAGCTGGAGCCTATCCCAGTGAGCAATGGGAGCAAGGGGGGATACACCCTGGATGGGATGCCAGTCCAGCACAGGGCACACCCAGACAAATACACACACACACACCAATTTTCCCAGAAGCCAATTAACCTACCAGTATATTTTTGGGCAGTGAGAGGAAACTAGAGCATCTGGAGTAAACCCATGCAGAAACAGGGTGAACATACAAACTCCATGCAGATGGCACCCCAGGCCTGGAACTGAACCTAGGATTGTGCCGCAAATTGTGTTTGTCAACCAAAAGCAATTTTGATGCAAAAAGGAAGCATCTTCGTTTTAAGCAGCTCTTTTTTGCCATTTTGCCAGATTAGACACTTTAGCGAGCATGCTTTGCATTAAGGGAAAATTCTGATGCCAGTCTGGCTCCCAAATTCTGTTGTTCAAAAGCAGCATCTGATTTTAGTCATTGGAAATCTTTGTATTTTTTACTTGGAACCCTAGTTCACAGAAATCAGGAGGCACTAAAAAAATCCCAGTCTTAAAAGCGAGCCTGTGGTTGTATCTTTGTGGAGCCTGTAACTTTATTACAGTCAGAGTTGTGCACCTACACAAAGAGCCATCAAGTCAGTTTTAGACAAATGATCAATATTTATTATAAAGTTGCCAACTTTTCTTTACACCCCTGAATGTTAGAATCTGGACCAGTAGTCTTTCATGCCATTCCACATGGGCAATTGACTGCTATTACAATGGTTCTGTTTATTTCACATTACCATGTGTAAAAAAAGAAAATCAAATGAAAAACTTTAAAAGATTTAATTTCAAACGCAGTATTCCTGGACAATTACTTTCTGACAAACTCTTCCCAATGGTGTTAATGCTTTTGTTGACAGTATGAGTATGAAGTAGTGTTGACAAAAAGCACATGCAACCCTATTTTTCAAATTTAGATAAAGTTCACAAAAGCATTTATCAAAAATGTTGCTTCTTCACAACCTAACAGATGAGTGAGTGGTCTATTGCTCTTTTGGCCTTGTCACAAACAGATAAACTGGTAAAAATGTCTTTATAGAATTAAAACTTTTCACACCTTCTTTATATTATTTTTAGTTCATTGCTCCTCAGTCTGATATGTACATAAAAAGCTCAAACCATTCAGTGTAACTGTACACATTCTTGTTCAAATCTGAAAATGTGTACATTTTAGGAAAGCAATTAATGCACACCTCAAGCTAACAGCAATTAAGCCTATGATCTATGAATGAATTATTCACCGTGATTTATGCATGCATTCTCAGTTGTTTCAATGTATTCCACCTGAGTCATTCCACCAGACAATGTCTCCTGCTCAAATATTGAAATAGTATTAAATATAAAAAATTTAACAGGTGACACTATCTGAAGAACTTCCAAAGTAAAAAGAAGAATTAGACACCAACAGTTCATCTGAAAGATAAAATTAGTACTCTTCTATTTAGCATTTGTTTTTTATAGGCAGAGCACCTAAAGAAATATACACAACACTATGGCAGATACATGACCACCATAATAGCATCAATATCCCATCGGAGCTGGAAGATGGAGACAGGCTGTGTCGTCTCTCAGTGCTGGGACTGGGTGGTCTTCACATGGCTTTCACCTTGATCTGCTTCATCTTCATCTGCTTCTTCTCCATCTTCTTCTGCTCCCGGCGCAGTGCGGCCTCCTGCAGGCCAGGAGGAGGAGAGAGAAGAGAAAGACAGCATACTGGATCAGCAAGGGTTCGTCCCACTCACACTGGAACCCCATTAGAATAACACTGGCTCAAGTAAACCAGGTGTTTGTCACAGCTCAGAATGTTGTCTTGTGCAGAAACTTCTGTTGAAATAAGGAGTTTGGTCCCAGTTTTGTTTTTAGCTACAGGGAAATCCACAATGTAACATTATTTAAAGGTAATTTCTGTATGTTTTAAAAAAATATTCTTATGGGAGAATACTCATCTAATTCATGTTTCTACAAAAACAGAAGCAGTCTATTGACTGCGGCACATGATTTCAACTCCATTAAACTGCAGACTATTCATCTGGCACCAAACGCCCTGCTCAATAGTCAGGGGTAAATAACCCTGCAGGTTTTAGAATTAGGTGAAAACAGTTTGAGTACAGAAGAAGAAAACCTGTCAACCTCAATTAAGAAATTAATCTGGAGAAACCTTTCAGAGCTCAGCAGGGTAGAACCAGAAGTTACAATGGCTCTCCAACATACTGTATGAATGGGAGATGTGTGTTCTGCAAGGCAGTCCAATCTCTATCACCCCCCAGTGTTCTGATCAGCTGGGAGCCTGAGATTGGGATTTCTCTTCACTCAAGACTGAGGCCATTCAGTTAATTTCACTTGCAAAGTGCGTCCATCTCATAAATGAGGTATATTCATGGATGTTCCTTTCAACTACACAGCAGTGCATTGACAGATTCCAGCCTAGTAAAAAAAAACTCAAATGCATCAGGCCTAAAACAAATACACTATATACGCATTACTTTAGTATGGTTATTTTCCAAAGCAATAATTCTACATTTCAATGTAATGTGTACTAGACACAACTGCTCAAATACAGCCCGACGCCAAGAGTGAAACTGTCAATTCATCCCCACCTCCAGGCGGCGCTGTCTCTCCGGGTCCTCCTCGTTCATGATCCTCTCCTTCTCGGCTCTCTTCTTCTCCTCGCGGCGCGACTGGGCCGCCTCCTGGCGCTGAGCGTGCGTCAGCTTCAGGAAGTTCTCCTCCACGCGTGCGCGGTTCTTGTCGGCCTTCTGCTTCCCCTGCAACGTCACACAGCGGGGCTAGGAGCGCACGCACAGCAATGCTGCAGCGCTCAGCTGCTCCTCGCCGACTAGGCAGAGCAAGACGTCAGTGGCGCAGGTACGCCTGAACTGAGTATTGTCCACTGAACTCTGAAAACTCCAAAATGAATATCAGAGGGAAAGACAGTCGTGCTAACACGCTTGCAATGTTGCTTTGTTTAAGATTTGCATCGCTTCTAAACATTTAAATACGGTCATCCGTCAGTATATTCAGTTAATGTCTGCAAGGGAAACACCTGCTCCAGAAAAGCTTGGCTGCGGTGCGAGAAGGCTGCACACCGCTGTGAAGTCTGTTGTACAGTGAAAGTGTTCCGACGCCGAAATCTCCCAAAGTCTGTCTTTACAAGGACTTTCTGTAGACTTCAGTATTAGTGACAGCTGTTCTGTTACGTGCAGGGTGAATTGCTATAGCTCAAAAGAATTAGCTTACCAGTCCCATTTCGAATTATCCAACGCTCTCACACAATGAATAAAGGTCTGTTATAACAAAGTGTTACACATCTAGGTAGCAAACTAGTTTATATATATATAAAAAAACGTACCCATGTAATTCACAACTAGGAAAAGAAAGGTTATGGATTGCAAATCACTTTAATTCTAAATCAAGAATCGTATTGTGTTCCACTATTTAAATATTTGCTCTGATGTATAAAAGAAGCACTCAAATCAAGGTACGCCTTTGGACTGTGGGAGGAAACCGGGGCACCCGGAGGGGACCCACAGGAACACGGATAGTAAAAAAAACCATCCGTGTGAAACTCGCGTCCCGAGGTTCCACTCACCTCCCTGTTGAGCCGGAACTTCTTGACCTTGTCAAGGCTGTAGATAACCATGTTCATCAGTGGAAGAAGGGTCTCCATGTCTTTGGGCGAAGTGTTGCCCATCCCAGGCACTGCGAAGACCAGACCTGATTGTCAGAACTGGGGTGCCTGACCCCCCGGCCAGTACCCTGCGGAGCCACTGGGATATCATTCCACCCCAGGCCTCAGATAGTTGAGTGGTTCGCTTTTTTATTTTGTAATCTCAGCCTTTTTTTTTTTTGTTACCCACCCAATTCAGAATCACCAGTTGTTTATCATTTAACGTCAATGCAAAGCACCTGCAGCGTGTGATGCACACGATCGAGTAGGGAGCTGTGTCACTATGCGTACACTGCACAGGTACAGGTTCAAGTCAAGCTGAAAGGTAAACAAAACTACATTTCATCCGTGGAGCCTTCCTCAGGTGTGAGGGACTGAGGGAAAGTTCTTCACCTTTTATCATGGAATGAATTTTTGCCTGTTCCATTTGGTGTACATGGTAGACAAGACACAGTAGAATCATTAAAAACACAAAATAATGTGGCCTTGTCAAGCGTGCTTATTAACCAAAATACCCATATAGTGGAAGCATTTTTTTCTCAGTTAGTGTAATACAGCTGAGTGGAGTGGTAGGTTAGGGCTCCGTTCTCTGGCCAACGGAATGATGGGTTCCTGACTGGGATATTGGGATACCCTTAATCAAAGTGCTTCACTCAAATTTACTGCAGCTCCAGTAAATATCCTGATGTATAAACAGGTCTACAGAGTTTCATTGTAAACAAGAATTTGCTCTCAATTACCTCATGTCAGTAAATTAGGGATTTAGGCTTTTAAAAACAATTGTAAAAGGCCCCTTGTATTAAAAATGACTAAAATTGAACATAAATATACCAATTGTCAATTTATACAAAATGGAAAATATAGCACAAAAATCCAGCCCTTACCATTAAATGTAAACAGTAGTGTCTTCTTAGTCTCAGGCAGTTTTAAGGGTTGTCCCTCTCTTAAAAACAAGAATACAGAGGTATGAATCACTCGGAAGCACACAAGGCATTGCTTCCTGACAAAATACATTCAGCAGGTACATGAAGAGTGTGTTTTCAGTATTAGGTTAACCAGTGTGCTTCTCACCCCCAATGGCAATTTCCTTAAAAGCATGCAAATTCTTTTCAATTTATTGAAAATTTGTATACTGCACATATAATTTAAATATAAATAAATAAACTTCATAATTTATCTTCCTTATGCTCATCTGCACCAGCACATAACTTACAATTACACTTCAGATAATACAGTGTCATTGGCTGTGCGCACACAGGCGTGCTGTCATCTGAATTGCTGGCAACACAGCAGGTGTCTGTTCTAGCAACACATCTGCTAATTGGAAAACAAATTACAGCTATAATTGTTCATTAGTAACATCTAGTGATTTGGAATTTGAAAACCTGCTTGTGTATTTGATGTGAGACAAAGGTACAAAGAGAAAATTTCAATATTCCAGCTAGACTGACAGGAGTCTTTTTTCTGTATAAATATTTTGTTTAAGAAATACTTGAAAGAAACTTACTCTTGCATAAGTTTTGGACCAGAGAATTGGTCCGAGAAATGGATGGACTCAATTTTGTCGGCATGATTGGTGAGGAAATGTACCATCTGCAAAGAAGCAACAGGAAACAACCACAGTCACCTCTCCCAAATCACGGAAGACTTTTAAATGATTAAAGTCAAGAACAGATTTGATATTATATAGTGTATTTTTTTGGTAGTCTGAATAGAGATGATAACTGAAAAACAAAAGTTTAATAACGAAAGAATAAAAGTGTGGATGACAACTACTAAATTGCCAACCATGCACATCATAAAACTATATAAACCACACATACTGTAATGGGAGACGTATATTTTACAGGCTAACAGTAATGAGCAGTACAGTGTTTGTGCTAGTATTCTCTGACGTCTAAAAGAAATACAAAACTCGGGGATAAAAAAATTCAAGATTTATCAGTTCATTTCAAGATCAGGCCTCCTTGTATTGGTAAAAAGCATTAAAAGCTTGTTCTCTATATACAAGTGTTTTTTTTGTCTCAATTACCTACCTCTGCAATATGCACACAGCAATTATCATATGCAGATAATGCAGAGATTGAATACTGTGTCAAGACAATATGGACAGTCTGTATAGCAGCACATTCAGCCTCTTCCCAGTTTTACCTTATTGTCCATGACTCCCTCTGTCACCTCTCCCATCTCGGACAGAATGGCCAGGAACTCTGGCAGCCCAAACTTGGCTCCTGATTTGGGCTTGTCGCTGCAGAACTCACTCTAATGAAGAACAAAGATGTTTAAAGCATCAGATACAAGGCCACACACATAGCACTGGGGTATATTCACTAGCCTAATCACTTTTTGCAGTCAAAACTTGGAATTGTTCTTCTCCACATTCTTCATCTGATCTCGGCTGTTTCCTAAGGAGCTGTTTGTTTTCTTGGAAAGATCCGGCCATCTTACTCACCAAGTCCTGCATCTCCTTCTGCAGCCGAGCCATAGCCTTCTTGGTGCCCACAGCAAACACGAACGTGTCCATATCTTCGTCGTTCAGAGTGACTTTGATTTGCTGTGAAAGGGACAGGAAGAGATGGAAATCTGTTCATCCGTGGTGATCTAGCAAATCTTAGCTGGTGCATTCTGACCATGTTTGAATCTGCAATTTACTCTAGCAAAACTTTACAAATGCAAATAATGAACAAACCTCGATGTTACAATTGGCACCTCGGGTTTTCAGTGTAACCTGCCCCCTCTTCACCCTCATTATAAAAGGTGCACATTTCTATTCAGTTGCTGGATACCGTTAGCAAGTAACACAGCACAACTTCATTGAATTTTACAAGCTTATTCAAAACATTAAATTCTACTAGTTTGCTTGGTTAAGATGTATGAATGTCTTGAAACAGGAAAAAAATGTATTAAAAGAGAGCTGTGGAAAATCAGAAGCCCAAAGTAAGTGATTCTATAGTGTACAGAAAATAATGTGAATCACCGTTCCAATCTAGCAATAGCTCCTGGAAGCATATTGGCCAACTGCACACCAACACAGCAGTGATGGGTGACCTACTGTCACTTGCAGTAGTTCCTTGTAAGCACAGAGGACACAAGTGACAAGTCACAAGTCAGCTACTCTCATCTTACTTCCTACAGATCTGGTGTTTGTGTTTACAGGTACTGATGAGATAATAAAGGAGACTAGTTACATACCACTTGGTCACAGGCCGGCCTCATCATTCTCGCCAACACATTCAGGAGGTCCTGGCGCTTCAGGAACTGTGAAACATCATAGAGAGGACTATCAAGCGAGCAGATGTATAAGGGCTCAGGTCTTCTGGTTCATGTTTCAATCCAGCTTTAAAGTGCCTAATTTATTTATTTACTTCACAAAAAAAACTAACTAGCTCACTGGATGGCTACCAGGGGCCAACTAATTGAACCCCTGAGGTTTTACCCATTTTTAAGATATTCTTTAAGTTTAATGGTGTTACAAAAAGCAACTGAAGATACTGCTGTTATTTTTCCATTACTTGATCCAATTCATGCAGACTCCACACAGATAGCAAAAACGTCATGGATAAGACCTTTCATAACTGAAATGCAGCTGCTTCTTTGAGTTCAATCTTTTCTATCTCGTTTCTTAAACTTAACCATATTCTCATTAAGTCCCTCCTACTGTTCCCTTTTTGAGTGAAATTTAACATTCTTAACTCCAGAAAAAAAAGAGTCTTTCTAGGAAGAGACAGGTGATCAGAACTCCATATGGACGTTAGATGACACGTGTCGGCACTCAGTCCTCACAAAAATGCTTGAAATGACACGCAGGTTGATTGCAGTATGGAAGCAATCCCAATTTAGTTACAATGTGGATCACCCAGAATTAAGTATCTGTTCCTTCCTCTTTCACACCTCGTGGTGCTCCTCTATGCCAGCACAGCTTATTAAAAGACTGCAGGAGCCACATTGCAGGAGTAACGTTTCCAAATGGCAGTGGAAAAGTGGCAGGTGGCTCCAAACCCGCCCTTGCAGGGTGTGGTCTTTTACTGGCGGAGGCACTCAATGAAGTCCAAGGCATAGCACGCAAATTACCACTACACAGAGAGAGCAGCCAGTATTGAACAGCACACCGTCTTGGTGAACTTAGGCAATGTGCAGATATAACACAGCATGTTCAGTCCCGTGCTTTACATAGAGAAAGTCAAAGCCAGACAACAGACTGCCTTATGGGAGTTTAGAGCTGCTGTGGGAGGATCTGGCAAGTCTCCCAAGGGGGAGTCAAGACGGCTGTCTTTACCTTGAGCTGAATAAGCATGCCCTCGCAGCACACACGCCCTGAGCACCACAGGTTATAGATGTGCTCGTTCTCCTGGTTCAGCTTTCCCGTGCTCACGGCTTCCTTGCTTGTGCCATCATCACCTGGCAAAAACAAAACAGTGCCGTGATGAGCAACGCCGAGCGTCTCGATCGTGTGGCTAGGTAGGCACACGCCTGCCAGGTAAAGCAGAGAGAGTCCTTTCCACCGATTCTGAACAGAGCTGCACAAAAAATAATGCACTTGTTTTAAGCATGGCACTGAGTGAGGCCAGTGTATTATGGAGACTGTAAACAACACTGAGTGAAAACAGTAGTTTTTCCTCCTCTTCGACACAAGTGCAGCAGTTGATCGTTGATGTTCTAACGCCCAGACATTTGCAGACAAAATGTCTGTGAGGACAATAACCTGGCCAGAGTTTTAGAGGCTAGACAGTTAGAAGCAATCATGTTATTGTGAAAACTACTGTGAGATTTGTGGGCTGCCTTCACACCTTTTGCTCCCTGAAGAGGAATGCAGTCATCACCAATAGGGGAATCTTGTCTCTGGTGCCATACTGAGAACTTATAACAAATAAGCTCAATAGGTAAGCACATCTCATAGGGTTCTGCCCCACCTTCTGAAGTTTGGATGAGAGGGACAGCTCTGTCAAGACCGTATCACTGTGGATATGGCGCTGGATCTCTTCCCCTCCTCCGAGCTACTCGGATTGCTTTACATGCTCTCTTTCTAAAAAAAGAAACGGCGCAACCAGTTGGCAAAGCCCCCCTCCCCTCTCTCACCCACGAGTGCAAAGTTGCTCTCCAGCAGCTCCCTGTGCGAGTTGAACCAGGCTTGGGCTAGCCTATTGTTCTTGTTCTTGCCGATGATATAGTTCATGATGTAGGCCAGCAGCCCCGTCACCATCAGGATCTCCATGTAGTAGCTCTCCCAGCTGTTCTGCAGGTGAGGCGGCACCTGGGAGGCATGATAAAAGGAGAGATTGGTGAACACTATCAAATCTCACTTATCAAAGAGCAGGAAGTTATTGTGCAATTGAGTAGATTACACTTAAAGAGTTGCTTTTTTATACTCGCTTAGGAGTCCTTAAGATTATATTTTTTAATAATCACTCACCCCAAAATCCCAAATGGCAGCGTTCAAAGATGATGATCACACTTGTACTTTTTTTGTTTAATCATGTGGCACAGACAAAAAAAAGTAAAAGCTGTTTTTAGCTCTGAATGTGGTGTGGTGGGAAATCCAGCAAGGAGTCAGAAATAGGTTATGCACAGGAAATGTCTGTTTGCTTATTAGCTTTTTTCTGTTTAAGTTAAGCCAAGTGAAACAGGCCAGAAAGCTTTACAGAGACAGAAATAAAGGATAAGATAATGTCTGGCTGTGACACCACTGTCTCTCAGATACAGAAACAGAAGCTAATAAACAGACAACCAAACAGAGCCAGATCATACCGTAAGAATGTGGATGGGATCCTTGAAAGATGGGTTTGACTTCTCAAAACCTTCAAACTCCTCGGCATCATACTTATAGAGGTCTTCATCCTGCAAGATAAAATGAATTCAAAATGAAGTCACCAGGGCATGGCATATATTCTGCCAATGCAAACTGAAAATGATTATAGTCTTTGATGGTACAGTATTTGCATTTCAAGACTACAGATACAACAGCTTACCCATCTAGAGCAGTTAAGCTTATGGTGAAAATCCTCAATAACCGTCGGAGAGTTTTAATTTTATTTCTAAATTGTAACGCTCTTAACATTTGACTTACATTACTTATACAACCCCTGGCAGTAACTGTATGAAAAAGTTTCAATCTTTTTTGCTGGCATTTTTATGAATAGTCGCATACACGGATGGCAGAGATTTCATTTAAAAGTGTTGGATGCCCATGAAGAACACGTTCTATTAATCTGAACTACAGAAATGACTGTGGAAAACCAATCTCACTAGAACATGAATGGAGATGACCTGCGGCTATGACCATGATCAAAAATCCCTGCAATGATTCGAAATGCACTTTAGAGACTGTTTTTATTAATAGAAACATTATATTGTGTTCCAACCTATTTTCTAGTTAGTCACTTAGGGCTATTTCCCTTTGGATGTGATGTTCTTATCCAGTCTGATTAAATACGGTGAAACCAGATAACTAGCCGTTCGGGTGGGACGCCGGACGAATGCGCTCTCACGGGGGTCTCGGTGTCCTCGAAGTCGTCCTGGCCCTCCTCCACCTCCACGGTGGCCTCGTCCTCGTCGTCCTGGGCGGTGACGGTCCGGGGGGGCGCCTCGGTGGGGGGGTCTTCGCTCACGTCCTCGAACTCGGCGAAGTCGTTGTCGTCGAACTCCGCCAGCTCCTCCCCGTCATCGAAGTCGTCGAAGCGCGCCCGGGACGCGGGGAACCCCAGCAGCAGCAGCAGCAGCGCGGGTACGAGAAACGGCTTGCCCATGGCACCGACTGGAAACAGAGCCAAGAGCATGCCAGGGAGAGGGACACAGGCAGGACCCCCACAATCCCGCAGCACACCGGTCACAACATGCAGGCACGCGTGGGACTCGTATCAACTCGTATACGATAATCATAATAATTCTCCTTAATATTGGGCCTAGTGTTTCCTCAATTTTGTTTCAACCTGAGTAGCCAAATAGCTGGGTAGTTAATTAAACAATTAACCTATTTTCTTAGATATAGTATGGATTTTTGTAATTTATAAAAGCCTGCTGGTTTTTGTTCCAGTCATGCTCTGTTTTACAGCTGCACCCACTTTAAATGACTTGATAATCGGAATAGTGTGAACTGGCTGAACATTTTTAGCCCTTGCTGGAGGCTGCCTTTCATCTGTTACACTCCTTACGTAAAATAAAATCCCAAATGTTTTAGAGCTGGGGGACAAAAAAACCCAACTTTTTTAGAGTAAAAAATGTTCAGAGAGATTTAGGAAAACCATTCAGTCTGGAATGTCAAGATTCCGCCCATTATTCATGGATACGGCCCTGTAAAAACTGTTTAACAAAAATAACAGACAGCTATGCTTCCTCCTGGCCTGCTCTATGAAAATGTAGCTGCAGGATTAGTATGGGAAAAGGATCCCAAGGATTTGATGGCAGCCTGGAGAGTCGTTAATTATCTTGTCACTGCAAAGCCTGTTCAACACTTCTGGTACCAGAAGCAGCCCTCAGTTAATTGACCTTATTTCAGAATCCCAGAGCCTTCAGTTTGCTACATCCCTAGCCTAATCATCCTGTTCCATTCAACAGCACCCCCGACACACAGGTACCTTTATTATAAGGAATTTGGTCTGTATCTTCCCTGGACATAGTTCAGAGCAATTACTGTTCGTGACATCTGATGGGAAACCACTTAAGAGTAAAACAGCAACCAAGGCTGTTTGGTTACTAAAAATTGACAAAATATTAAGTTTGAAACATTGAAATACTGAATTACTGAGGCCCTTACTCACTCTTTTTCTTTATTTTAATGAGCAGTAACAGTCTAGTGCAACCAATTTTAACAGATGTTAGAGGATTTTTTAATTGACATTTTTAAGCTTAATAACCACGTTTTGTGTACACGGAATTGTTATTAGTTATTTAACAACTATAAAAACAAGTGTTTCATTGCGAGTAATTGCTGCGTATACACCACCTTAGTTTACAGTAAAACAACGTCCTATCTTATCTGTTTAGCGCGTTCAATGAAATCAACTAGGAGATAACCATGTTCACGCTAATCAACAACAGAAGTAAAAAAAGTGTCGCTTTGGACCTTTCATTTTAAGCCAGGATTTAAACAGCATGTTTCATCATGTGTCTCTTCAAAGCGTCAACACTGACGGCTGTACAGAAAGGATAAATGAGTACATTCAAACCTTAATTGGATCAATTCAAGGCTTAACTTGATCAATTCCAGGACTGCGCTCAGGTGAAGCTTTGTTCATCATTTAAGGAGACATTGAAAAGCTGCTGGAACTACAGCAGGTACTGAAAACCGGTTTGAACAACTGACCCGGCAGGATTTTTATTGTAGCGATCTATAGCCGTCTTGGCAATAACATCGGAAAGGTGTTTTTTTTTTAGCTGCGAATTAGTGATTTAGGGGAGGGAACACGAGACAAATCACTCTAGCTAAATGCCGAGAACTTCTTCGTTGGCCTCGTTTTACTGCCATACGGAACCTCAGGACCTATAAAGACAAGTGTTGGTGTTTTTTTTTACTTACGACTGAATTTGTCCTTAACCTCAGATACCCTTCTCGGGGTAATAAAAGGTCAGTCGTGAGTACGCATGCGACAATAAAATAACGAGCTTGCGCAGGGAGAGGGGAGACACGCTAACCTCAGCAAGAGCCCTCCTCAAGCAGATGTCTTTTCACGACTTATCTTTATCTGGCTGAGGTATAAAATGCAAAACAAGCGGAAGGGAAACGAATCACGGCTGCGTTTAATGCTCACATAGCACAACGGTAGGTGAGACAGGCTGGTTTTTAATGGTCGTTGAAGCACAGTTGCGGGGGGGCGGGCATGCAATTTTTTAGGAGAAAATGTAAGTCGCAAACATTAATAACAACGACACATTGTCTTAAATATCTCCCGATTACAGAAATAGATCACCTAGCACATTCCAACCGCTAATGAGATTAAGTATTGGCAACTAACCCCTGTTCTTAGGCGCAGTAAAACACGATTTTAAAGTGTATCTGACTGAAATTTATACCTAGAGATCGCGGTGAATTGCAAACTACAGGGAGCGAGATTTCCTTTAAACTCGGCGGAAAATCGTGCACAGTCTCGGAAGTCTGAGGCTATCCGCGACCATGGACGTTATTATCAGGCATTGCTCTTGCTTTACAAAACACTTCTTATTCGTTTTTTTTACCTTGTTTTAGTCCTTCTTTATTGTGCTTAGCTTTTCTGTCCCCCTCTCTTTCTCTCTCTCCCCGGCTGATTATTTCGGTCTTCCGAGATTCACGGGTTTAAAGAAAATACAAGGAAACGACGTCCGTTCCCACTGCTGTACCCTCCGATCCGGCTGCGGAACTACTGTCAGTGCACCGCTTGCGTCACGTCCGCCGCCGATCACTCAGTCATGACGTAACCCGGTCTGGGACGTGTGTGTGCATATACACATGGTGCACACTTACTGATTAAAACAGGCTGGAAAAACTGTACCCTCGGTGCCAGCGGACGAAACCCATCTTGTAAGGAGTATAAATGACGTCCCTCGTCATAATGGTCACAAGTTTCAGTCCTTTACACTTAAGCCTCGTTCGTAATGCCTGCCTGAAGGAGATCCTAGAGTAGGTTTTTAAATGCTCTAACGACCATTGAAGGCTAGCGAATATTTTTTAAAAAACATACGTCGACGTTTAGGCCAAATTGTATTTCTAAACTACAGTTATGAAGCCTAAACTGGTCATTTCTAGGTATTGGGCTAGACCAATTGTGCTTAAACCCATCTCTGATGCATACAGGCAGTATGGTCCAGGAATATGTTGTTATGCTGGGGAAGAGTAATTATTCTTCAGACGTTATGAAGCCCACACACATTCATTCCATCAGCTATGATTGAGGCATTTCTATTTTAAAATTAATTCTGTGCCAATAAAGGCTGGGAAAATATACATTTTACTACTCTTTCCATCCCAATTACTCTGATAGAAAAATGGGCAGATGATGTAGATAAGTGCAGTGTATTACGTGCAGATAGAAACAACATAAACTAGGTATGCAAAATTAGAAACATTGAACTTGGAGTCTCTTTCGGAAAAATACTTAGGCATTTAGGTTAACAATGCGAGGAAGCCGAAAAGGCAAACAAAATGTTAGGACAATTGTTAAAATAATTTATTTAAATTGATGGATGTTAATTTTAAAATATTTTTTCTCTGGTGACAGCCCTGAGAGGAGTAACCTGATATATTCATTGGCTGAAGGGAACACCCTACACTGACAGGCTGAAGGAACTGCTCCTTTTTAAGTCTTGAACAGAGAAGACTGGGGGGGACACGACTGGAAAACCTTCAAAACCTTCAAAGGCTTCTTGACAGAATTCACACAGTCGTCATCTTCTTCAGAATCAAGAGTGAAACTCGAAACCGTGAACACAGCTGGAAACCGAACCTGATACCAGGAGCCGGTTTCTGTATACAAACGGTCCTGCGGCCTGGGAGACGCTAACCAGCTGTGATCTGAAGATGATATCCCAGGGGCCCTTCAAGAAACAGCTGGTTGATACCTGAGGATCAATTAGTAACTAATGTATACTGTTTGTGCTGAATGATCTCATCTCGTTTGTAACTGTTGTTTCCAACTGGCCTCGTTAAAATACAAAATATCCGGAGGAAAATAAATCTAAGAAGCTGTTTTGCTTAATCATGCAGGGGAGTAGATGTGGTTTTCTCCAGTACTTTCGATACAGTGTTAAAATCGTGCTTGCAGACATGACGCCCAGCCACGCTCTCGGTGAAACTGGCACGTTTCTCCTGACTGATTGACCGTCTTCCCAGCACAGCTCTTTCGTACCTGTCCGCCCACTTCACTCTGACTGACGCTGCGTCAATCCAATGACACTCCTCCTCACTTCCCTTAATCCCGCCTTCCGAATTTGCCTAATTCCGCCGAGCCACTCAAAGCTTACCTAGCGAGCAAAACGACCGCCCCTATTTCGACTGACGCTTCCTTCGTCCAATGAAAGAGCGCACCTGGCCGCGGTTTAGCCCCCGCCCCGCTGTGAGCGACAGCCTCTCTGGCCAATAGGGTGTCGCGACGGATTTTTTGGGGGAGTCTGGCTTACCCAGCGACTGTAGCGCTTAGTCTTGTGTGGGGTTTTTTTTTTTTGTTGTTGTCGTCTCGGATGCGCCGCTTCTGGATTTATAGTAGCACGACGTACCGACAAAGAGGGTGTTCGGTGATTCCCGAAGCCGAGATCAGCTTGTTTCGATCCGTCTGGGCGCAGGAAGGAGCCGCTGGGAGTCGGGGAGACAGTGTGGCGGCGGAGCGGAGCGGAGACGGGGGCGAGGGGTGCCTGGTGCTTCTGGGGGGGGAGGCGGCCAGCCCGGCGGGTCAAACCGGGGCACTGCTGTGAATTGACGGCGAGGCTGGATTGTCACACCGAAACGTCCTAAAAGCCCGCAAGGAGCGCGTCCTGCCGGGCTCGGCCAGCTCGGCGCTCAGCTCTTTGTCTGCGCCGCCCGGAGGGGGGACGCGCACGCCGCTCGACTGGGGCGACTTTCTCGCTGAATTCTCTCCTCCTCCTCCTCCTCCTCACTCAACCCACCCCGCCGCCGCCGTCCCCCCCTTCCGCCTTCGGGTCGCCCCCCCTGCACCATGTCCCTCCACGGCAAAAGGAAGGAGATCTATAAATACGAAGCGCCATGGACGGTTTACGCCATGAACTGGAGCGTCCGTCCCGACAAGCGCTTCCGCCTGGCCCTGGGCAGCTTCGTGGAGGAGTACAACAACAAGGTGAGCCCGGCGCCCCCGCTTCCTCCCCCGGGCTGGACGGACCCGGGTCCGGCCGAGAGGCTCCCCTCGGCTCGACCGGGTCTTTCCCCTACGCGTGTAAGAGGGGGGCCGATTCCCGAAAGCGGTGCTAAAAAAAAAAAAAGGAAACCGATCAGCCGCAAGTGCGAGTGCGGCGTGTTTGAGCATGATGACGCCGGCCCGGGCTACTTTTGTATAAACTCGTGTCATCAAGTAAACTCTGCTCCCCCCCTGTGATAAAACATGAGCGCCTCGCTAGTGTTCTGCACGAAGCCGGTGTTTGGCAAAGGCCACCTAAGCGATCTGGATTTACAGGGTGAAATAGGAGCGATAAATCTGCAGGTCAGAGGCTACTGCTGTCCACTGATATGTTAAGTGCCACCACTGCGCTCCCACACGACTGCTTGCTCTGTAACTCAGTTGCGTGGTGAATGCCGAGACATGAAAGTTTGTGCGGAAACCACCCAGCGTGTACTAGAGTCTGTGGGCTTAGATCTTTGAATCCTGAATACTAGCCCTTTTATTTTCTTGAAAGGTTACTTGATCAGAACTCAACACATGTCCTGTTGTTGCCGTACAAGCATTGATGAGTAACTTCTCAGGTGTAACGTTCGACAAACGTACGGATACTTTTTTGAAATGCTTCCTAAATTTTGGACTTTTTTATCATTACACAGTTTATCATTAGCAGGAAGTAACTAATATATTGATAGTGTCCTTAGCTGATGCATCACCCACCACCTTAACTCAAATTTGCTCAGGTCCTGGGGGAGTGCACACCTGGCTGTCATTCCAGACACCCTTAATTACCCCACTGAAGCCTTAATTGAACTAACAAGTTGCTCTCTTGATTGGAATGCATGCAAGTAGCTTTCCACTCCAAACCACTTTTCATCACTGCACCTAGCAGAGCCCTGGAATTTAAAATGGCTTTTAAAACTGTGGTTCAAGTAGGGCGTGGTCTGCAAAGGAACAAGTAAAAGGTTTATTCCTGCTGAAATGATAAGAAAGGAAACGCAGTGGAGCTTTCTTCGGGTGTGAGGGTTTAAAATGTGAAAATGTTCACAATAAAAATGTGGACTTGCACAGATACTGTATGTTTGTGCCAGACTGGCACACTGTCTTGTGAGGCACATACCAGTAACTCTGAAGTCTGAAACCGGGGTCTGTGTTTGAGTGGAGGCCCTCTTTGTCTGTTTTAATCTACTTATGCAATAATAGTGGTTCATGTGGCTTCACAATAGACATAGCTGTCTCTTTAGGGTCCCTCAGTTGGGCAGTCAGATCCAAACAATGATTCAATCATAAAGCCCTAGGAGATCTCAGAGCTACCTGGGGATAAAGTTGTAGAAAGTAAAGAGTTTGTTGGACTTTAAATCGCTGCCTGGATCAGTCAGCCTTGAGAGATCCCTCTACACTTAGCGGACAAAGCAAGGATGAAACTGGTCAGGGACGCCACTGTGTGGCCAACAGCAACATTTAAAAAAGAGGTCGAAAATGGCCATGGGTCAACCGTATCCTGGCCACTCCGTAAAGGGGGGCCTGTATGAACTTGAGGGGAAAAAACACATGTGAGATCCCACATAGGGTTTGGTCTAAATGCAGAGTATTACATTTTCTGCCAACCCAGCAGTGTCGCTCAGTCAGCATCATCCCTGATGTCAGGAATTGGTGGTGGCAGCATTATGCTATAGTTCTGCTTCATCAGCAGGGACTGTAAAGCTTGTCAAGACTGATGAGGTCCTGGAGGGAATAAATTACCATACGCAAGTCTGAGCAAATTTGCCAAGCACGTGTGCAAAGACATACCATCAAGACTCGTTTCTGTGATTGCTGTTAAATGTGTAACTGCTACATTGAGTTCGTGGGTCTCGATACTTACACAATTGACATACTTCAGTTTTTGCTTACATTGACTAACACATTATGAGTGTTTAGTATTCAGTTTTGAATAAAGTCTTAAATTTAAAAACATGTCTGTGCAAAAACATATTGCCATAGGATAGGAGAGATTAGGAGCTTGCAAGTGACTCGAGCAGTGCAGTGCGTGCTCGGAGAGTGCAAGCTCGATCATGTGCCTCACTAAGGATTGTCCAAGAGTTGGTGAACCATAGGCAGGGCTGGGCTTTCTCCCCGAGGCCTGGCGCACACTCCCAGGCCAGATGGAAGGCGCTGCTCTTCCTGTTGGCACCCTGTCTCGTCAGTCGCTGTGAGCGTATCGGAGGAGCTCTTCAGCGTGCTCTCCAGGTCTCGTTCTCAAGTGCAGCAGTACAGTCTTTTCTTACAAACAAAACAATTGGCAAATCCAAATGGAGTGGTGGGTGCTTGATAAAAGGAGAAATGATGCTGAATTCCAAAAAATGAAATGCTAGATTTATTTTTTTGCAAATATTGAGAAAATGTTTCAAATTGCTATACATCATGAGTCTTATCTATTTCTTGAATGTTTTTTTTTTAACTTGTACCCCTTAAGTTTTCTGAAGCTCCCAAGATAAGGTTTATCTTGGACTCGGCCCTAAGCCTTAGTTGCAAGAGTGGCGATGCCTCCATTCTCTAAAAAATATCTGGGTGTGTCCTAATAGGTTCTGTGCTACGACAGTACATTGTGCTTTTATTGGAAAGGCATTTCTTGAAAAAAAATTAGTGTGTCTACATGATTGTTTAAATCATTAGGTATCTCAGTATCTGCTAAAGAAGTTCCCCATCAGGTGCTGTCTGGGTTTCCTCTCAATACCGTAGAGCTTGTAGCTTTATCAGCGAGCACTGCGTCAGTCCTCCATCCGATGTCTGTCTCGCTGTTTGCACAGTGGGATTGGGAGGTTTGAGAAGCAGGTGTTCTGACAGAATGTGGTTGGCAGGGCATGCCATGCCTGTCATCTGTGTCTTTCCCAGCAGAGGTGTGTCGCAATTATGAATCGGTGGTTCTGAAACAGGTGGGTATGAGAAGAAAAACAGTTAGTGATTCCAAGAAAATAAAAAAAATGTAAACATTTTTTCAGGTGCAACTGGTAGGATTGGAAGAGGAGAGTTCGGAGTTCATTTGCAGGAACACCTTTGACCACCCGTACCCCACCACCAAGATCATGTGGATCCCCGACACCAAGGGCGTCTACCCCGACCTGCTCGCCACCAGCGGAGACTACCTGCGCATCTGGAGAGTGAGTCGCCCCACTCCTCATTGGAGCGCACGTGTCCCGCTCGAACCTTGACCCACATGCCCTCTGCTCTGTGAGGAGACAGGCTTTATGTTTCAAACACTTGACTTCCCATTGGGGCTTCTGGTCAGCATTTCATTTCTGAGGTCGAAGTAGCTGCTTTGAATAACTGTGCCATTTTCTTTTTCGGTTTGCAAATCCATGAATCGAATCAATCTCCTGAATCTCTGTTGCAGGTGGACTCTTTTTATACCATATCTGTACAGTTTCTACATTATGTATAATTTACATTAAAAGCTAATGCAAAATTAATTTCAAATGAATGAAAGGCAGCTGTTCATATGATGTCACCTTATCTTACCTTAAGCTTTTAATAAAAGTAGATATTGAGATACTTGAGGTATTGAGGGGTTGTCTCCCTGGGTTGGAAGAAACGGATCTCTTTTTATTTAATGGCAAGTAAGCAGGACACAGGCTTGAGAAATGTGTTGATTGCAGACACTTTAAAAGGAAAAGAAAAGTTTAATATGAGATGTCCCTTTAATATTGCTTGTGCCTCAGCAACCTGTTCAGTTAAAGTAGCCGGTGCTTTTAACAGCTGTTCTCTGCCTAGGGCTCATTTAAAAGAAACGTGATTGGTTAGACTCATTGCGTTGTACACCATCATCCAGCACCAATCTTACCATGTCTTGCCACAGTTTGAACAGCCTTAAGCCTGGTCAGTACTGGGATGAAAGTGCTCAGAGAAAACCTGTGTTGCAGCCACAAGTGGCATTGGTGGACCAGTAGGTGGCGCTCATCATTCTGGAGTTGTTTTACAGGCCGGTCCAATAAGAAGTGCCACCATTAGGATGGGACTTGAAACCACCGTTGAAACAGCTTGTTCATTAAAGATCCTGTGACATGTTTCGTTATAGTAGGGATGTACACCCAGGTACATCCCTACTCTGGCCTTTCTAAAGCTTCCCCTTGATTCTGACTTGATCTGCTGTGTAGTGGGGCTTCCACATATTGTCCAGAGTAGTGAATGCAGTTGGTTTCCTTCTGTGTGTAAACTGCTTTGGGATGAAACTCACAATAGACGTGAAACTGGAAAAAGATTTCAGTCTTGCGGAAGAGTTCTTTTGAGCACTCAGCTTCTGACACACATAAGCCAGGACTGCTGCTGTCTGCCTGCAGCCATAGGGCAGGAGGAGAGAAGTTCTCATGCTCGTTAATGTTTCTAAAAACAGATGAGTTGTTGTCACTAAAGGAGACACTACATGAAAGGCGTGTGTGTGTGCATGCTTCTTATTTTAAACTTGGGCCCCTGTAAAATTGTAACCTTAACCCAATCACAAGTCTCAAATAAACAGCTAACTTCATGGTGCGTCTCAGCTGCAGCAGAGCAAGAAATAACTGTGTAGCTCTGGGACTGCTAATTTACAATTGGCAAGCTTTAATCTAAATTTAAGGTTTTTATGTGTTAAATTGCTTCAGCAAACTGAATTTCATGAGGTCATTCATTTGGTCTAGAATGCAGGAGTGTGGTGTTTTGAGGTTTAATTAATTCGGGGACATAATTGAAAGGTGTCCCTGCCTTTTAAAAAATACTCCTAACCTTTCCTGTGGTACATGGACAGGAGATCAGTACCATCATGAAAATCCGTGTGCGACCTCAAAATAGGCTTTTTAGTGTTAATAAAATACATTTTGGAAAGCATTGTGGAATGTGACTCTTTTCTGTTTGACTACATTTGCATTTCTGTGGTGGTATTTTCACCTCTTTAAGGAAAACTTTGGGGTTTTGTTCTGTCAGTTTTCAGTGTCTTTGCAGTCATTGGTTTATTGTTGCAACTGGTGTTTTTAGTAAGTGCTTGTTCTCTCTGTACCCCAGGTCAGTGATACAGAAACACGCCTGGAATGCCTGTTAAACAACAACAAGAACTCGGACTTCTGTGCCCCTCTGACCTCTTTTGACTGGAATGAAGTGGACCCCAACCTGCTGGGTAGGTTAGAGAAGCCACTCACTTTGACTGGCTTGGTGTTGGCTGTGTCAGCCAGACGCACCGGAGAACACAAGTCTAATGTTTGCTGTTCGCCTGGCAATGTATGTTTGGGAAGACTCAGAACACAAGAAAGGTTAGCATTTCTGCCTAACAGCACTGGGACCCTTGGTTCGATTCCAGATCTTGGGTACTATCTGTGTGGAGTTTACATGTTCTAGGTTTCAAAATGTAAAGTTAAGCTAATGCCAAACTTTACCGGTTCACAAAGGAGGTTGAGTCACAAGACAGTAAACAGCCATGTCTGTTCATCCACCTAGGCTGGGGCCAAAACCCGGGGGGCACCCCAAGTCCCCCCTGACAAACAGGTGAACCCCATTGTCCTTAACCTAACAGACAGAACTAGATGACTTTTTGGATACACAATAGGTAATCAATAAAAAAAATGCCACCATGGCCATGCCATGAGAGCAATAGCACAGCTCCTTGCCACAGAACACAATAGATTTATTTTTATCTTCATGTCTCCCAGGCACAAGGGAACCTATGAGCCCTTCTGCCACTTAGCTTGTTCTTTAAAGTGCAGTTACTGGAAATCAGTTCATCCCCGGAACCTGCTTAAAGAGAAGTCTTGGAAAAGCTGATGTAGTTCTCATTAGTTAAGGGGAAAAATGCGTGAATGGAGCAGAGGCATACCAAGGTTCCTTTTTTTTTTCATCCTTCAGTCATTCCATGTTGAAGTTTACTTTCATCATGTCCGCCCACTCTGTATTGATTTGCCATTTCAGCATCTCTGTTTGTCTGCAGGCACCTCCAGCATCGACACCACCTGCACCATCTGGGGCCTGGAGACGGGCCAGGTGCTGGGCAGGGTTAACCTGGTGTCTGGACACGTGAAGACTCAACTCATCGCCCACGATAAAGAGGTGAGGTGGGGGTTTGGAGCGAGGGACTCCTAAAAGAGTTTCAACATTTTTCCTGAGGTTAGATTATAAATCATTCAGCAGTGTTATTAAGCTGTTTGCCCATTGCTTGCCTGGATAGATTCTGGGAAACTTGTGACCCAGTATTGGAAGTAACGGTTTGATGTCCTACCTCTGTTGCCTGAGCTGTTTGCAGTGTGAGAAAGGATAATGTAACAGTGCACGTTTCAGAGGGGACATGGACTGTGAGCTCTGAAGAGCTGGAATAATGACTGAAGGACAATAAATTATAACCAGTTCCTGAATCAAACAGGACTTTTAAGTCAGCAGCTTTCAGATACTCTGAGAAAATACAGACTGTGTCCAGCTGAGCTGCTGATTGAATCTGTGAAGTTAATTGAGACTTAATGTGGGAGTGAAGGCACTGCGCACCCTACAGGAAGTGAGCGAGCGCCCTGTGTGTTTCTGCAGGTGTACGACATCGCCTTCAGCCGGGCCGGGGGCGGCAGGGACATGTTCGCCTCCGTGGGGGCAGACGGCTCGGTCCGCATGTTTGACCTGCGGCACCTGGAGCACAGCACCATCATCTACGAGGACCCCCAGCACCACCCCCTGCTGCGGCTGTGCTGGAACAAGCAGGACCCCAACTACCTGGCCACCATGGCCATG